CGTCCCTGTGCCGATCGTGGATGTGGGCGGGCGGTGAGTGTGAGGCGGGGAGGAGGTGCGGCGTGAAGAGCGTGGATGTGGGCGGGTCTGGCAGCGGCGAGCGTGAGGTGGGGGAAGAGGTGCGGCGCGCAGCGTGTGTGGAGCCGTGAACAGGGCCAACTGATCGGAAGACGATTAATCAATTATTGAAAAAGTTGACAACTTTTTCAATAATCGATTATAATCGATTATGTCGATTAGTTGTTGCAGCCCTAGAGTGCATGTATGTACAGACCCTTTAAAGTCTTACTCCAGCCATTTTTTGTAAATTTATTTTGGATAGACTGGGGAAGAGTTAAAAAAATTTTATTCCTCGTATCCAAGAAGCACTGGGACTTCAAGACTTGTTCTTTAATCAAATGAAAACATCATTATTAATGAGCTACCTGGGCTCTGGTGAGGCTTTTCACATAAAGCAATGCTCCTCTCTGGTGCGCTCCCAGAAAGTGACTTAAAACATAAAAATACAATAACGGCACCAGACCAAGTAATAAATGAGCCCGAGTGGATTTAAAGATTCATATTCTGAACACATAAAACAGCCAACTGCCCCTGCTAATGTCTTTGAGCATAGATAATGATTCCAAGCCCCAATGAGAAGGGATTTTATTGGCCTTTGAAACACATTGGCTATTTTATGTAATCAGATGATGAATCATTAAAGCCACATGGTTTGGCTTTCTTGTTTTATTTTGTTTTCACTTTGTCACTTTTTTTTATTCCTGTCTGTGATCCCGTTGTTGTGATGCCCATACACCAATTTAGGGAGAGGTTGTCACTGGAATAGTTAGGCAAAGAGAAAAATAAGAACATTGTCATAACTTCTAAACTTTCTTCACTCTACTAAAAATGTTGTTTTTTTGTGTGTGCTTCTGGATATATTTCCCATGACAGGAGGGAAAGAAATGTATCCCCAGTAGAAAGACAGGTTGTGAAAAACTTCTGATAGAGATTCCAACCCTCCTATTACAGAAGAATAAAAAGGTTGGTTGTAGTTGGGGCGTTAAGCTCAATACCCCAATTAACGGTTGCCAACCTTTTTGTACCTATACATTTCAGGTCTAACTAAGCAGAAACCACCCCCCTCCCAACCAAGGGTCATCCTTCATCTGGAACTGAACATGCCAGACAAGGGATAGCATGTACTGATTGTGTGAGGTCACATGTAATCACAGAATACAGAAGGCCCAATGTAAAGGGTTACTGTGCTAAGTGATGACCCTATAACAAAATGGAAAAATAAAAAAATGTAGAAATGGATTTTCCATTCCTTAATTAGACCGCAGACAGGTAACCATCACTCACTTTTTCTCTTCATCTTCTGTCTGGCCGTCTTGCCCCATAATCAGATACTCCTTTGTGCCTGGTTGTGAATCAATACGCATTTTGCAGGCTGCGCGCTGGTAGAAGTAGCGGGTGTCTCCAGCTTTAATTTTCTCATCTGCATCTAGAAAATAGGAAGGAAAAGGTAAAGGCAATGTAGTGTGGTTTTGAACATATTCTTGTTATATAATTTGGTAAGGGTGGAAAAGACAAAGATTGAACAATTTTTTTTCTTTTAGTGAGATAAATATGAAATATTGCATGTTAATGTGGATCTGAGCTCACAAATAAAGACTTGCTATGTTATAGGGAACATTTATAAATATTTATTATGCCTAAGAAGTAACCTTGAATGATTTACCTCTGTCTGGAATTCCTCCTGAAGATAGCTGCTCACTTCCTGTGCCTAGGCACTCCTATACCTACAGCCTATAGATGTATATCTGCAGAGTGAGATCTAAGTCCCTGCTGCCTCTGACTGTCAGTCTCAACTGATTTGGATATTTGGTGATGTCATTATTGTGCTGCTCAATGTTCTCCTTGCTGGAGAAGAAGCTGTACTTGAGGACCTGCAGTGCTAGGATCTCCCTGCTTCTGATTCATCCATTGTGTGGATTTGTGCTTCCGCCCAATGATCATTAACCCACCAGTCATCAGTGGGTCAGAACTAACATGAGGAAGGAATGTTCTTCTCCTCCACACAGAGACACTGTGCAGAACAAGGCATGGTAAGTCAGTAATAGGGAAAAGATCAGCTGTGGGAAGCCTGCAGGTTATACTTGTGACTAATCCTTTTGTTGTCTGCCTGAATTTTTTGAGCAGAGTTTGCATAAAGCAGGTCCTTTTTAATGTTTTGTGTTCCCTTTTTGAGCCATAAGGTTGAGCTCTAGCCTTCTTTTTGCATGGTTAGCTATTTCAGCTCAAAGATTTGCTGTAAAACGTACTAGTTGAAGCTGAGCTATTAGAGTGACTCATCCCTTATCAGGTGGTTCATTCTGAAGTTTCAATCAGACAAATAGAGCCCCAAAGAAAGTAGTGTCCGCTCTGTGATTTATTTATTTTTTAGGTAACCCATAGTTTTCTGGGAATCATTTGTCATTTATTAATTGCTGATGTGCAAAACAAGGACTGTGTATGTATATATATATATGTATATATATATATATATATATACACACACACACACGCACATATACACTGCATATGGGTAAAGCACACATAATTAACTTACTTTTCTGCAGAACTTCAATAATTTCCACTGTGTACACTATGAACGCATCTTCTGGTTTCTTTTCCAACACTTTGACACGGTAGCCTGCATTGTGAAGACAAAACATGTGAAATGAATAGTGATCTCAACGAGCATGCCACAGCAAAGAAAGAAATATGTAGCACATTTTTGTAATAGATGTTTTATGCCTTAAAAATAGCTGTTAATCTGCCAACAATTCGGTGTTCTCCTAACTTCCTATTCAGGCGGACAAACCGTAGGTGAGTGTCTGCACACATCCTGGGCTCACAGTACAATGCTGCGCTCAGAAGTCACAATGTGAGCTCTGTTCTGGGCTGGATTGCGGATCATTCACCACTGGAGAAGAGGAGAAGTGGAAAGAAGAGGACCCGGCTTATCACATGACTGGCCAGATGGAGGAATGTATCCCAAAAATGGGGCGGGGGCTGCTTGAAGTTGGAACTTAAATAATTGCTGGTTTACATTTTGATTCCCGACGTATATATCAACCAGATGGAAAGGCCACCAATTTACAACAGCAGGAAATCCAAATGCTTCTAATGAGATTTCCATTTTTTTAATTAGATTTTTTTTCTCTAAAAGTGAATAAAAAAAGATAATTCCATTTTTTTCAAAGTTCCATTATTGCCTTGGGGTTTTTTTTTTTCAAACGAGGCAATTGAAATGAAATTAGATTGATGTAGGTGTGGTCATCATTAGCGTATGAGGGTGGCACACGACTCATTCTAGTATTTCCATCAAATCTGTTCTGCAGTTCTATTATAGGTGGTTGTCAACCTATAGGAGGCCTCAATTGGGGTCCAACTGCCGACTGTCTGAACCCAGGGCCTCTGCTGTAACTGGCAGTGGTTCTACCTGCTGAGCCACCTTAGAACCTTGGATAGCTCCTTGCCTGATCTCCTGTGTAATCCTCAGGTAAACCTAGTTTCTGCTGAACTCTGAACTCCTTGCTCCTCTCTTCAACTTCCTATTTAAGCCACGCCTCTGCACTTCCTGTTTGCTAGATAATTGTGCTCCTGCCAATATCTTGCTTCCTTGCTCCTTCTGTGATACAATCTGCTCATACTGCTATCCGTGTACCGACCTTTGGCTGCTGATTCACCAACTACTCTCATCGTCTTCCACTTCACACCTGATACCTTTGGCTACTGACCTCGGCTTGATCTCTGACTACGCTTCTGCCTGCTCCTACACTACTACCATCTGCTTGTGTACCATACGCGGCCTGTTTGACTACGACTTTGCCTGCTGTTTCAGCTACTGGAGCCTGATCCAGATTGTAACACCGACTCCTACTACTGACTGGACTGCTGGGGTTCAACAACGAGTCGGCCATCTCATAGACTTGCATTGTGAGAAGGGACAGTAAGTCACAACCGTTGCTGTGCACTTCAGAACAGGAAAGCAGAGCCTAAGTATGCAGAGATGGCTGCCACCATGTAGAAATGAAATTACAAATTATACAATGAAATAAAGTAGTTAGACATCAAGCAAATTTCTTTTTATATGTACAGCATTTCTTCTATAAAAAAAAAAAATGGAAAGACTATGAGGCTGATTTATAACCAATATGCAGGGTCATCCTCCTTGTAAATATATGTGATAGTTCACCCTGTGCAAATATGTGAATACATTTTTCCCTTTACAAGTGTAATTCAATTTGAACGTTCTTAATGTAATATATTGTAGCTACTAGATGGTGCTAAAAGAGCATAGGAAATAAGTATTTAGTTCCTATGCTCCTCAGCTTCATCTAGTGTCAATAATGTAATATTACATTCAGAACTTTTGAATTTAATTACACCTGCAAAGGAAACAAAACAAAAGAACGTTCATTTGCGCATATATCCGTAACATTCGAACATTCATACTCATAGATATTCACAGGACGAAACAGCTCTGCAAATTCTTCATAAATCAACCCCTATATTTACCTTTAAATAAAAAAATATATACAAAAGTGCTAAAGATCCAGCCACCTTAACCCGCTGGTGCATTTCAAGCTGGTAAAAAAATGTTCCCTTTAATAAAAATGCAGCCATATTCAAGCTGCAGATTATTAGTCATCTATAGCATTTGGAATGTTCTGCGACCCCCGATAAAGTCTCCCCTGCATTTTGATCCAGTTGTCTCACCATACATCACACGCGGGGTGTAACAAGCGAATTGTTGGCGCTTATCGTTCTCTTCTATGCCCAGGGTCTTCTTTAAAGTGGGACAAGGACCTGCGAGACAATTGAGAGGTCAGATCCTGTGCAGTATATACAAAAGACCATTCTGTACAATTAGCAGGTACCCGTACATAGAGATCATTTATGGATTTACACCGTGCAATGGTGAAAAAAACACAATGATGTTCAGTAAGTCAAAACTCGAAAGAAAAAAAATAGCCTTCTGAAGTGAGAATATTAAAAAGATAAATCCTGTGTGGTTGCTGCACAATGGCAGGTGGGTTGCATGTCACCCGTCCTCAATGTGTGTATACATTTCAGCAGCATTAAACTGACTCTTTGGGGTTGATTTACTAACCTTATAAACACGCCACAAACAAGTATACACCTCTGTAGTGTGTTCCCTCCCAGCATGATCTATTGGTGGAATCTAGACGCCTTTGTAGTGTGTACACACCCAGCAGGTGTGTTGTGCAAAGCCCTGCATGAATTGCAAGGTGATGTTGTGTAAATTAGCTCTCCGTTGTGCTGCTTGCGTTGATGAATGCAGGAATGTAAATGCATGAGCTAACCATTTTTGTCTAAACTGTGAAGCAGCATTATATATGCATCATGTGCATGATTTTTCCATATATGGCATTAGTGGAAATATGCTTTTAGAGACTTGCATGCCGCTATTAGAGTGGCGTGTAGCCTATGGCGCATGCTACATGACGCGCACGTACATAAATGAAAATGTGACACGTTGCTCGTGTTTGGTTGATAGATACGTTTTGCTGTGTAAAAATGCACACGCACCTGGTGCGTGCGTGTGTTTAGGTTAGTAAATCACCCCCTTTAAAACAAAACTATGCGGTAAGTGTTTTTCCCCATAGTTCTCTTTAGGCTCACGGGGGGGCATATACTAACCTCCTCCTGTGACCCAAAGCTCTGTATATAGCGAGTTATTGCCCACTATATACTGAGATCGCAACAGCCGGGACGGATCCCGACAATACTGTCTGGATCCACCCAGCTGCGTGAGTGACAGCTGGATCTGCCTATCTAGTCCGTTCCTCCACTCAGCACTGGAGGATGGGAGGGGGTGATAAATCACTCACCTCATAGTTCTCCTTTAAGTCCCTTTCTTTTTAATTAAATGGATATCTGAATGATTATCTTTTAGTGTACAATAAGCATGTTGACTTTCAGGCTTTTTTTTTTTTCTTTTCAAATAGTTTTTATTAGGTTTTTAATATTTTTCACAAAAAAAATGTAACATTGATACATAAATGTCTAGTCAGCCTTTTTTAAAAAGGAAGATTATATACAGTGTAAATCACTTTCCCTGATGATGTATAATTGACACCATAATTGCCTCGAACTTGTTTATAATTGCATTGTATAGCTTCCAAATATTATAATTGCGTTGTATAGCTTCCAATATTAATTGAAATAAATTAAAGAAAAAGTACATAAAAGTACAAATGTTCCTCCTGGATATGAACCCAAACATTGTTCAATCTTTCATCAGCTTCCCCAAGCACTTCTAAAGTGTTAAAGAGACCCTGTCACCTTGTCCACACAGAGCAGAGTGATGGTGTCTCTGCCAAGGGTCCCGTCCCCCCCCCCCCAACCCTCTTACATCCCCCTTTTATTCGCCCCCCCACACGAACTCTGTATACTCACCTTGTCAATGCGCCCTTGCTGCTTCTTCCTCCTTTGCAGCCAATGACATTACACTGTGCTGCTAGGGAAGCATGTGACAGGCTTCCCAGTGACAGTACTCCAGCTTAGCAGCATCCATTGTTAGGTCTGAGCGTTGCCACATGACCACAGGAGTGATGTCGCCGTTCCCCCTGGCCAGTAACACTGCTTGTGTGAGTTCCTATAATGTAACCTACAATTGGTCAGATAGGTCCTTTAAGGTAAACTAAAGCTGGTAATATTCGGAGTGAATCTTGGCTGATTCTTGAACTGGCTGAAATTCGCTCCATGGGTGGCCTTGTCGGCAGCCTTCCACCCTACATTCTTGGATCTAAAAATCAAAGGAGTTGGGTGGAAAATTCTCGGCTGACCAGTGACTGCAGCCACTGACAGGGGCACACCAAATTAAGCAGGCGTGCACAACATTGGAAGTCTTAGGGGTGTACTTACAAACCTTTAGCAGAGCCATTCGTCCTGCGAAATTGCATGTACATTCATACTGTGCCAATGGAGGTGAAAACTAATGTTATTAGTATATTTTCTTTTCAGGTCGAATGTAACATAGAATATAGGAAATACATACTTATTTATTATGCTCCTCAGCAAGGTAGCAAAGAAAGTAGTCACTTGCTTCAAGAAATCAGCTATAACTGGACAACTCTAGATGGGAAGCATACAATCGGCTTTGGGGTTGGGTATAGCGTATACAGCTATGGGTGGGCACACGTCCCATGTAAACAGACCGGGATAGATAGGTCCGGTGAATAATATACAGCTGGATTATCCGGTTATTGATCGCTGGTGATACATACATTTGCAACGTTTGAGGCACAACACCCTTTTGCTCCAGGCCCTCACCAGGAATGTGTGCAATGGGATGATTTTTTTTTTTTTAATAATAAAGTTTTATTGGTTTTAAATGTTACGTACAACAAGTACATAATACTTGTAACAAGTACAACAAGTACAATAAGCACAAATAACATGAAAGTATGGGGGTGGACAAGACCCGTAGCAAGAGGTGGGATTAATTTGAGTGAAATACATATGAGAGGAGCACGAGTCATTCCAGTCTATGTCTGACAGAAAAATCCTGTTTTTTTTAATCCTCTTCGGCTTCGCACATGGTTGGGTATTCTTTGCAAAGTGAATTTTCACTTCGTCTCATTCATGAAATATGTAAAAATTCACTGTGCAAAGTCAACATGGTCTAGTTTTTCAATAATCCAACCCTTTTGTCACCGAATAATTTGCACGCAGGTAACCTATTCTTACCTTCTGCACACTGACATACATCATTTGAGCACAGGGTAGAAATGAAGGTGGTCTTGGAGGGGGCACCATAGAATATTCTGCATTGGTTACCTGCCAGAGACAAGATCATCTGATGGTTATTCTCCAGACAGTTACCATTATCTGTGCATGACTGCTAGACGTACAGGAACCATTAATATCATAAGGTCTGATTAGCACCCCTGGTTCCAGCCACCAATAGGAGGAGTTCACAGGGCGCCGTACATCTGACATAGGCGAGCCCTGCCAGACTGCAGCAGAATTAAAGCAGCCTGTTGCTACACGAGCCATCTTCCCTGCCCACTTTATGTCAAGGAACTTCAAGGACCCCATATATTGCTGGTACCTGCATGCCAAAATGTATTTGGAGTATCCAGGATGCCCAGGAAGCGACTGGATGATGGTGAACATTATCCAGCCTGGAAGTGGCTCAGCAACCATGGATTGCAATGCAAATGTACACTCCTGTGTGGAGCACACAGGTAGTAGAGGAAAATCACAGGCTGCATAATAAATGTGAGTGAATTGCACAACAAAAAATCCCTTTTAGGTCCTGCGTCTTGTTTGCTTCAGAAGGGTTTGGCACTCACACACAAGTCTATTGAAATGCAAAGCCCTCTTGAAGCAGGTCAGAAGTAGGTCAACTGCAGGCCAAACGCACTTTTTCATGAACTCTGAATGACCTCAGAAGTATTTCAAACTGATGTCATTGACACAAGCATAAAGCCTGCCAACACAGGCTCCTATGGTGAAGCTGGAGGTGTCCCATCCTGCTGACTGGACAGTGAACGAGCAGCAAGAGAATGATGAGTTCATACCGCCACTCACTCTGCTATCTTCTCCTATCAACTGCAGGTCATTTCCTCCTTTCCATTCATTCTGAATGAAAAGCATGTTAAAACTAATGCCATCAACACAAGCACGAAGTCCGTAGACGCAGGCTTTTATGGTTGAGGCTGGAGTTGTCCCAGCTTGTTGAGTGGACAGTGAAAGAGCAGGAAGAGACTGGTAAAGTCATACCTCTGCTCTATTGTCCTATGAACTTGTTGCTTGTCAACATATTAACATGCAGCACACTTGTTTGGCTCCCAGTCCTGCTCTACCTTCTTACATTGTGCTGCTGTATAAGGCATTGCCAGTGGCAAATAGAACTTGGTGCTGACAATGGGTAAAGAGCGAGTGGAAGGTGAATATAGGGAATTATCCTATATGCAGTTGGGTGAGAGCCCACCACTTACATAAACCTATTGCATGGGACCAGCAAAGGTGACCACCTAGCTCACTAATGCTTAAACATATCCCAGCATACAAGTTCTCACGCCTTCAATACAAATGAACCATGTTATTGTCCTTATGACATGGAAGCGGAGATGTCTTGGAGATTAGATCATTGACTACCCTTCATTTGCTGCATATGATTTCGGGTTCTTGTACAAAGATCACCACGTGTTACCTGGCTCATAAAAGTCATACAGGACGGCAGAGGCCGGCTGCAGGGGGGACACCTTCACCGTCTGAAACGCTTCAAATGTCACAATGTCCTTATGACTGGTGACCTATAACAAGTGGACAGAGGAAAAGAAAGTCCATAGTCAGTAATGAAATATAAAATGTATCAAGGCTCAAGATTTAAAAACATCAATGACATTGTCTGTATGACTCATGACAGCCAATCGGCTTCCCCCTTATCAGCTCTGAATACATGAAAGGGAGAAGCTGTACTGGGAAAATAGTCTGTGATTATCAAACTCACCCATAATAAATGCTCATTGTCTGTAATGTTGATACAAAGGCTGTTCTACTTTCCCAGCCAATTAACTGGAATAAGTATGCTGCTTGCTCTAAGTCAGGCAATGGCAATCACCCCCTCCCCCACTGGGAGCAATGGCGAAGTGGGGGGTGGGGAGGGTGTGCCCCCCCCCCCCCCCCCCCACCCCCCCCCCCCCCATCCTTCTCCTTTCTCTCAGCAGAGGTTTCCTTTAAATAGAGAAGGGTAAACATAGGAGCTAATGAGAGTAAACTCATTAAACTCAAACTCGCAGTCCATTGATATCTTTCCCCAGCCCCGTAATTGAAGGTCTGTACCTCCATATGGACCAGAGGCTGGAGGAACAGTCTGCCGGAGCCTGAGCGCTGCACCTGCAGTATAGCCGCAGGTGGATTTATTTTCCCCTTGAAGGAATTTTATTTATTTATTATTTTTGTGAAACAGGAAGTAAGGGGAAATCCCTGGAATAAGGGCACAGGCATGAATGAAAGCCTGTAAGTGGTTTTAACTCTTACTCTCATCCAATCTAAGACTAAAATAAATGTTTCGTCTGCCTTTCTATTTAAAGCCAAATTCCAGAATAAATGAATATTGTCTAAATATTGTAATTATTATATGTGTATTCTTTCTTGAATCTTCGTGGTTTTGTGCATTTCTTCCATATCTGCAGAAATCCAGTGTGAGACTTAGAGCTTCCTGTAATAAAGACCGCTCACTGCTGCTCTTAATCCTTGTGCAGGGTGACTGGTCTTGTCACCACCTCCTCCTGTAGTTTTCTGCAGGGAGAATGTAGTGGGTGGGGGGTGGGGCCCACCCACAGCTCTGCTCTCTGCACTGGCTACTTTTATAAGGTTATATCTCAGTTTGCAAAGGCGTTTGGTGCACACAATGTAGTTTTATTATCCTGGATTTCAGCTTTAATACTTTTCTTTTGTCATACAAACCTTATCGAAGTACATGAGAAGTCTTCCCCCGTGGATCTCATAGTGACTGATGTATCTCTCCGATCCATCCTTAAGCTGTGGGAACACAACAGAGCATGTGTGATGGCTGTAAAATGATTATTTGGTGCAAAAATAACAAAGTCAGGCACACGCAGAGACAACGCATGACACAGGCAGTATTCTGTATAATTGGGTGAAAACCAGGAACAGAATCAAAACAATATATTGTACATCAATTGATCAATAGGAGGTGGTGGGGTTTACATTAGCGCTTGATTCACTATTCACTGTGCTTTGTAAATTGCTCCCTCTGTCTGCAGTAGTGGAAAACAACGAGTCAAGCGCAGGATTTTGCAGTGGTCACCCTGGCACGGTTGGCACACTGGGAAAGTCTGGCCATTTATTGAAGGAAACCTGTCATAAGAGAAACACAAAGTCTGCAATGGCTGACCTCACTTCTGGAGATACTAGCTTCCTGGCTGTCATGCTTACCCTCTTCACTTCTTTGATCCAACACAAATGCAAGCAAGGACTTCTGAATTCACTCTGACTTTACTGACTGCATACTTATGTTTGTTGTAGGTAGGGATGCACCGATATATCGGCCGCCGAAACATATCGACCGATAACCCTCCTACGGTCTGTTTAGTCCCTCTCCGTCGGCTGCATCTGACACATGAAGGCAGAGGCCGACAGCATGAGAGCAGCAAGTTTAGGATGGAGGGCTGAGCACGAAAGGAGGAGAAGTAGGAGGTCTAGCTTCCCGGTGTTCTGTAATATTGCAGAGCAGTGACTTTAGAGAGAGCAAGGAGGGGCAGCCAGGAGAGCGAGGAGAGACAGCCAGGAGGATGAGCAAAGAGAGACAGCCAGGAGAGAGAGCAAGGAGAGACAGCCAGGAGAGAGAGCAAGGAGAGACAGCCAGGAGAGAGAGCAAGGAGAGACAGCCAGGAGAGCGAGGGGGGTTTTTTTGTTGGTAGATCTCATGTAGCTCTTCATTTGAAAAGTAGATCTTAACACAAAAATTGTGGGCACCCCTAAACTAATCCAATGAGATGTACAGCCAGCGACAAAGTCCGCTCTGCTCACTTCTATCAGATTATTGTTTTCCCAAATAGACAGTACACTGAGGACATGGAAATCATCCGGCAAACAGATTACCTGCTGTATGGTTCATCCACAGCTGTACATAGAATGTATTACCGTTGCTATTAGTGGAAATGTTGAATTGAATCTCCTAAGATGGAACAATGAAATGGAATCGTAGATACACTTTTTATTTCCATTTCCACAATAGATATTTGGGGAAAATTGATCACAAAAGCCACAAAGGTTGTTCTTGATGCATGGGGTCCTTGGGGGGTCACTATTTGGGAAGTTAGGGATCCACTCCAGGGTGTCCCCACTGGCTAGACTTAGCACCGCATACCTTGTTCAGATCCTGTACACTGGGTTCAAAGCCACTCAGCATGGTGATGTCAACAATAGCCATTCCAGTGGCACGATCCTTAGCTTTTTTCCTAGAAAAGAGGCAAGGTAAGGACTACATAATGATATGAGGTATTTGTCTAAAATATTTAAAACCCAATTCCAGCCAAAACTTTTTTTCTAAGTTTTGGACAGAGTGAAGAAGGGATAGAACCATTTATGATCAAAGCGCTGCGCAAACTGTTGGCGCTATATAAATACTATGTAATAATAATAATAATCAGCATTAAGCCTGTACAACCTGAGGTCTGGGTGCGGTCATTACAACACCTTGATTCTTTTCTTTTTCAGCCATTCTGTTTTAGATTTGCTGGTGTGTTTGGGATGTTGCATTACTAAATCTCGGCCAAGCTGGAGCTGTTGTACAGATGGCCTCACATTTGACTCTGATATACTTTGATATAAAGGGGAGTTCATGGTGGACTTAATGACTGCAAGGTGCCCAGGTCCTGTGGCTGCAAAACCAGCCCAAATCATCACCCCTCCACCACCATGTTTGACAGTTGGTATGAGGTGTTTGGATTTTGCCATATGTGGAGTTGTGTATTATGGCCAAACCTCTCCACTTTGGTCTCATCTGTCCAAAGGACATTGTTCCTGAAGTCTCATCGTTTGTTCAGATGCAACTTTGCAAACCTAAGCCGTGCTGCCATATTCTTTTTAGAGCGAAGAGGCTTTCTCCTGACAACCCTTCCAAACAAACCCTACTTTTTCAGTATTTTTCTAATTGTAGTGTCATGAACATTAACATGCTAACTGAGGCCTGTAGAGTCTGAGATGGAACACTCTGGTTTTTTGCAATTTCTCTTAGCATTGCATGGTCTGACCTTGGGGTGAATTTGCTGGGACGTCAACTCCTGGGATGATTGGCAACCGCTTTGAATGTTTTCCATTTGTGAATAATATTCCTCACTGTAGACTGATGAACTTGTTGAATTGTAGAATGATAAAATTGTTTGGAAATGGTCTTATAACCCTTCCTAGATTGATAGACAGCAAAAATGTCTCTAAGATAATTGCTGATGTCTTGCCTCCTCCTTGGCATTGTGTTAATACACACCTGAATGCTCCAGACCAGCAAACTGCTAAAACTTGATGGTCACACTTGCCGATGATCAATTAATAAGGGGCATTTGATCAGCAGCACCTGACTGCTACATTGCCTCCTAATTGCTATGGCAGCAGTAAGGGTGTACTTAGTTTTTCACACATGGCTTCTCCAGTTTGGCTTTATGTTTGTAAAATAAATAATCACACAGTGTAATATGTCACGTGTTGTTGTTCATCTGAGGTTGTAGTTGCCTAATTCTAAGACCTGCTAGGGACCAGATAATTTTTTATTATGCCCTGATACCTAAAAATAGAATTCAAAGAGGGTGTACTTTATTTTTCACTTGAAATATATCTAAAACCAGATAGAAAACATTAGTTTTTTTTAAACTTCGAAAGAAATACATTTATAGTTCTCCTTTAGTACTCCATCCTGTAATAGTGTCATTGTCCTTACCACAGTGATACCATGTAGACCACTTTCACTGGCTTCTCTTTGGGCTGAGAGACCTCTCTTCTTGCTCTACTGCGCAGGTCATGCCAATGGATGTTCTCCAGGGGTTGGTCAGCCATCTCATCGTCATAATCATAATCACCGTAGTCCACTTCGTCTGCTCGGTAACAGATTAGAGAAGAGATTCAGGGTCACTCTCATGTTGTAAGTGCTGGGCTTCTCCAGACTGTTTCTATTGTGCTGGGAAAGCCTTCATCTTTTGACTTACAAGAGCTTAGACGTGAAGAACAGGCCTGATATTAATGTAGTATGGGTGGACTAGGTGAAGACCGAGATAAATGCACATTCACTCTAGTCAAACAACAAATAGCAGGCAAGTAGCTAAATACATACAGTATATAGGAGCTGCCAAAAGATTTATACTTCTCTACATCCAGTTCTGATATTTACACAGTTCTGCCACGCTGTACAGCCCTGGCTGTCAGGGCAGGAGACCTAATTTTTATTTGCTGCAGTTCAGTGACACTTACAGGTCTTGTCCTTCGTCCAACTTGCGACTGGACAACGACAAAAGAAGCAGCTCGCTCATGAGCTCATTTATTTGTCACTCTGCTCTCTGATTCTATAAACATATCCCTTGTTAGCACAAAAGCACTGCAGCGCAATCTATTGGCTCCTTGTGCTGTTTCTCCATCTCAAAGTCTGAGCACTGCAGTACAGGGAATTGTAAGAGGCTGATGTGATGTTAAACCTAGGTACCTACACCCTTCCATTAAAAAGATAGATGTAATAATGTATTAATAGATACAGAGCTGCATTAATTTGTGTATTTCATATCTGCCTGGAGTTCAGTTTTATTCTCCATCCAGCCATTCATTCTGCACACAACAACACTATGTCTAGAGGTGGTGAATATGCCCAAATTTCACCCAGCTGAAAACAGGCCTATGGCACATATATAGAACACTCGCCCCAGCTTTAAAGATGCACACTCCCGATCACACAGAAAATACATGAACCTTGCCTCTGTGTTGACAACAACGTAGTCCATGAGGAGGATAAAGCCGGCAACACATGTACAAACTCTGTAAAATCTCCTTAAAGGGAATTTTTTTTTTTTTTTTCATGATTCCTGGAAATTGTATACAAGCTGTATATAAACTATAAGCAGGACTGTGTATAAATAAACTAGTACTAGTGGATCATATGCAGAGCTTGAGTTATAAAGAGGAAATTTGTTACTCACTTTCAGTTTCATCCCCATGAACCGATACCTCAAGCCCAAGCTCTGAGCAGTCTGAGTCTTCCACCTTCATGATGTTATATCTCTTCAGGACCTGAAGGAGCGTTACATAGTCAGGGGCAAGCGTCACAATCACAGAGCAGCATGAAAACCATTTTGTATATGAGCCAGGGACAGAATGCTGTGACACACATGTTTCGGGACAATTTCATGGATCAGATGGTTGATGTACCAACCAGGAAGAATGCTATACTAGATTTATTCATCTCTAATAATGCGGACCTTGTTGAGGATAAAGAAATTAGGGATACATTGGGTAATAGTGATCACAGGGTAATTACTTTTAATATTGGGTACAGAAAAGAGAGGTGTGTTGGTTTGACAAGAACACTAAGTTCCAGAAAGGAAAACTTCGATAAGCTGCGTCATCTAGGTGTATGACAACAAATGGGACAAAGTATTTCTAACAATGAACACTGACCAGAAGTGGGATTGTTTTAGGAATACATTACATAATGCTATTACCAAGTGCATACCATTGGGTAACAAACAAAAAAGATCGAGAGCTAAGCCTGCATGGCTAAATATAATGGTAAAACAACACATCAAGGAAAAGAAGATAACGTAAGCCCTCAGGGGCAGGGCCCTCCTTACCATCTTGTCTTGAATTGTATTGTGATGGTAATGTCTTCCTTATATTGTAAAGCGCTGCGCAAACTATTGGCGCTATATAAATCTTGTATAATAATAATAATAATTTATAAAATATAAGATGGAAGGGACGGCATTGGCATTCCAGAGCTACAAGGAATGTAATAAGAGGTGGAAACATGAAATCCGGGCAGCTAAACGAGATTACAAAAAGCGTATCGCCGCAGTCAGTAAGAAGAACCCCAAAAACTCTTCCAATATATAAACAGTAAAAAGGTAAACCGCAGAAACAACTTGTAAAATAGTATGAACGTGTTAAAGCTTATATAAAATTTTAGTGATTGGGTTTACATCTATTTTAGGCTTCAACCTACCCATGTGCCTTATGGCTCACAGAAGCCACAGTTAATATATAGTCAGGAATAATTTTATTCATTTTTGCCATACTCACCGTTAAGATACCGTTTCCTTTTCCAGATACCTTCACTGTAAATGTTTTTCCCATGGATCTCTGCAAAACAAAATTATTATTTAGTGTTTAGCACTTTTTTAATGAATTCTTCCCCTTTAGCCTCTCTCTTATTTATTGTAAGCAATTGTTTACCTAGGGGTTTTGTTATAGCTTATACCAGCCTTGCTCCACCTTTTTACCCCCAGAGGAACCCCTAAAATAATTACTAAATCCAATTCATTGAGGGTTCATGGGAAAAATGTCCCTTACATTGGCAGCCAGCGGGAAGAATGGACCCCTTACAGTGATGGTCATGCTGCTGGGTTTGGAACAACGCAGGCAACATCAGAAGGGAGGTCAATCATCCTCAGCTCAAGGAACTCCTAGAAACCTCTGGAAGAACCCTGGGGTTCCATGGAACCATGTTTAAGAATGGCTGGCCTATACCTTTGCAATATATACCAGACTTGCCCTATAGTTATGTGATCTGTATTTATTGCATACAACTGTGACCTGGTTCACTCCAGCTGAGGACTCAATTTAAGCTCATTTTTAGCTGGTTAATTCAGTGTATATATTTGACACATGGATGCAGTTGTTTGGGGTCATTTTTAAATGTTTTTCATGTACACGGGCGCCTGGGGCCATAAAACTTAAAATTCAGGTGTATTTTGACCTTTCTTGCATGCTTCAGTGGTGCAGGTTATTTATTATCTGTAGTAAATAAAACCTGATAGGGGCTCTAACCCTTTTGGACTCTATCACAAACTAAAAACAAATGGCAGGGGTTGGGGTTGGATCTTTATCGCATCACTTCGAAGCCTGGGCTGCACTTGCCCAGCACTGGCAAATGTAAGCACAGCCAACTATTCAAGCCACAGGCCTTACCAGCTCTTCCTGAACGGCATCTTCATTGCGTAGAATGAATTTCATTTTTTGTGATCTTTCTAGGGAATTAAGCTCCAACTGTAACTCATTGCGGTCGTCGTCAGAGGTTTGGATCCAGTATTCGGAGAGAGCTTCCAGCGCCATGACCGTGTCCTACAGGCAAGACAACATCAAACAATTATGAATTATCTCGATCTAAAACATCGACTTTCCTTTTTTTGTTAGATTGTGCTTTATAGGGGAATGCCAGGAAGCAGGAATTTCCAGCATATAGGGACCTTAACATTGCTAACAAACTCTTTTCAGAACGGTTAGGTAAGTCTACACAGCAGGAAAACCCAAAACAGGACAGGTGATTATGAAAACAAGAGGCTGAGTTTGCTTTAGGATCCACCAGGGAAAGATTTTTACAACTTAAATTTCTTCATAGGGTCTACTATACCCGTCAATGACTGGCCTACTTTTACCCGACTGCAGATGCTTATTGCCATAGATGTAAAACGGAGGTGGGCTTCTTTATGACTATGGTCTGGTCATGTTCTCTGCTCCAGCAGTCAGTAGTGCACACCATTAATTGTATAACGGGTTTACAAGTAGAGACTGGCCCATTCATTTTGGTATTGGGTTTCACTGATCGCATTCATAGTACCAAAGGTAGATTCTTCTCAAGTGGAATCTTGACACCCCACCTATGGTCAATCTTTGGTTGCAGGCTGTCAACAGAGTCCAGCCTTTATATGGTAAAGATAGTAGGTCAGCAGCACTCACTTGTAATGTGCAAAAATTATTGATACGTCACATGCTTCAAGAAGCCAACGTTTCAGGGCCGCACAGGGTCCCTTCGTCAGGGCGACATCATGACGTCTTGATGTCGCCCTGATGAAGGGACTCTGCGTGGCCCCCGAAACATTGGCTTCTTGACGCATGTGACGTATCAATAAAAGTGCTATCCTTTTTGCACATTGCAAGTGAGTGCCGGTGACCTACTATCTTTACTTGGATTGTTACACGGCGCCATCCGTGTCGTCATTTCGAGCACCAACTGATATTTTGTTGGGTTCAAGCGATGTATGGTGTGCAGGTGATTCTCTAACCCTGTTCAGCCTTTATATGAGCCGCAACTGTCCGAGGAAATGTGATCCTGTGTGGGCTGACTGGGTGGAGGCAAAGGGACTCAGACTGGAGGACTTGCAGTGGCACGTGTATCCCCTTGGTTCAAATACTGGTGATTTGTACAGAGACTCTTAATATCTAAAACCTTCTTGTTGACTTTGTATTATATTTGATGCTGACATACAACTGGACATTTCTGTTTCTCTAAAAACAGCTTCCATATTTTTTTTGTTCTGGGCCTTGCTCTTCCTCCCCTCCCCCCTTCTTCCCTTCCCTTCTTTTCCCTTGTGCCCAGACTGGGCCAACTCACGGTAAAATTATAATGACCACATGGAGGTTTATAACCATTCACCCTTTGAGTATTATGCTTTATGTTTTTGCTTTCATACTATTCAAATTCTATTGGCTCCTGCTGGATCTATATATAGACATGGAATGTGTTTATTTTATATCTTAATGTTACGAATGTTGTTTCTTTTTTCTGTTTTTGTCTGTTTTCTTTAAATACAAAAATCAAACTTACATGTTAAAAAAAAAAATTGTTTCGGGAAACATTAATGCTAGGGTTACTGGGAGGAGTCGTGTTAGGATTACAGCGAGGATATACAGGTGAAACTTGAATAATTAGAATATCGTGCAAAAGTAATTGCAGTAAGTGCTGCAAAAGGGGCCCAAACCAAGTACTGAGTACATATGCATGCTTGTACTTTTCAGAGGTCCGATATTGTTCTATGTACAATCCTTGTTTTATTGATTACATGTAATAATCTACTTTTTTGAGGTTGTGGATTTGGGGTTCTTGGGGTTTCATGAGCTGTAAGCCATAATCATCACAATTATGACAAATCACGGCTTGAATTATCTTGCTTTGCATGTAATGAGTCTATCTCATATATTAGTTTCACCTTTTAAGTTGCATTAGTGAAATAAATGAACTTTGCACGATATTCTAATTATTCGAGTTTCACCTGTATAACATACTTACAATGTCAGCCAAAACAATTAAAAAAGGGCCAGAATTAACACTTCCCAGCGTGCCACTTCGGCTCAGTCCAGTTGAATCCTTTTCCCTTCGGCTCGACTGAACCGCTCGGCCACTTTCGGCGGCCGAAGAAAGCCGAAGGATCAGCCGAAGCTACGGCTGGAACCTTCGGCTCCTTTGTGAATAACCCCCTTATTGTTGTCTTACTAGATAATTCAGTCGTAAGCAGTGGCCTCTCTGCAGTGGTCTGACCCAGTGGTCTGAGTGGTCTGGCTCAGCTAGACCAAGAGTTCTGCAATCAGCAAAGCTTATGCTCGCTGCTGATTTCAGAGCTGTACCTATCTAAGCCGTATATATGTGCAAATGCACACTAATGATATACAGCAGATGGTAAGGGTGATTTCATGGCCGTCTGGAAACTGGAAAGAAGCAACTCTCCTCCCAAAGTGCTAAACATCAACTAATCATTGTTCTATTCATGTGTTACTAAAGACTTGTTTGCATGATTACAGAAAATCTACCCAGTCGTCTTTTATTTTGTCTTGAATTGTAGCAAGAGAGCTTGGAAGGGTAAGGGCCAGACACTCAGCCATCCTAAATAGAAGATTGCGCTTAGTATCCAGTGGCAGATCAATGATGCATCAAGCTACCAGTTTAGCCCTTTTCTCTTACCTGGGTAGATTTAAATCCTCCGCCATAGTTCTGCTGCTCGGAGAGCCAGGTGTACATAAGGTTTGCATTAGGAATTTCTTTCTGGAGCAGGGCCGTCAGCAACGCATACGATGTAGTTTCAACAGCAAGAGCTGTGCCTTTGGAACCGAAATACATCTCACCCTGCTCTGCAAATAAGATATTTACAGATTTTATTTTTTTAAAAAAATCTTATTTATTATAAATGCTTCTGAACTATGTTGGGCTCTATTTCAAAGTCGCTCCAAATGACCCGCTGAACTACATCACTGGCTAAAACAGGCAGGTCTCCTTCCTTTAGTGCCGGGGAGTCAAACTCAATTTCCTTGCGGGACGCTTTAGTATTATGGTTGCCCTCAAAGGGCCGCTTGTATCTGTAAGGCTATATAAATGTATCTAATCTTTATCATTATTAAATAATTTCCTCTGCATTTGATTATTACCGGTTTTAGTAATAATGGAATAACTGGCTCTGAAAGCAGAAGTTTAGTAGAAATAATGGCAGGTTCTATGGTGGGCTGTGCGGATTCTCAGGTGGGCTCTGAGGGGTCTATGCTGGGCTGTGCAGAGTCTTAGGTGGGCTATGCGGGGTCTATGGTGGGCTGTGTGGGCTCTCAGGTGGCTGTGGAGGGTCTATGCTGGGCTGTGCGGACTCTCAGGTGGCTGTGTTGACTCTCAGGTGGGCTGTGTGGTCTCTATGGTGGGCTCTGTGGACTCTCAGGTGGCTGTGCAGGGTCTATGGTGGGCTGTGCAGCGTCTATGGTGGGCTGCGCAGGTTCTATAGTGGGCTATGCAGACTCTCAGGTGGGCTATGCGGGGTCTATGGTGGGCTGTGTGGGCTCTCAGGTAGCTGTGCAGGGTCTATGGTGGGCTGTGCAGGGTATTAGGAGGGCTGTGCAGGGTATTAGGAGGGCTGTGCAGTCTCACCAGGGGCCCCTGTCAGTTTTGGCAAGGGAGGGCGGTGTGGATCCTCAGGACGGAGCTGCAAATCACAGTAGGGCTGCTGGGACCATGCTGCGGACCTCAGCAGCCTTCCTGTGAAGCCCGGCGCCTGTTTACAGTGCTGGCTTCGGTTTAAAAATTGAAAGCCGCAGGAGAGGTGCGAGGGGCACATGAAATCACCTGGCGGGCCGAATCCAGAGCTCACGAGCCTTGTGTCTGACACATGTGCTTTAGTGGTACTGTATAGTCAGTATTGTTGCAACGCAATAGTGTGAACTCAGGAAAAAGCCCCATTCACGCTTGTGAAGCATATGGACATGCGCAATCATATGCACATTCGCGCAAAGCGTGTAAAACTGGCGTCGTTCTTTCAGTGCCATTCATTGTTAATGGTACTTTAAACTTAGCAAGCAAGATGCATGTTTTGTGCGCACAAAGACGCATGGCAAGTGAATAGGCTTCGGTATGTGTGACGTGTGACCATCCTGCAAAAACGCTTTACGAGAAGTTGCGTGTAGCAAGTGTGAATGAGGCCTGAGCAACTAGCACAGAGATTATTGCGCATTTCTGTAAATGTGTACGGTGGACATTGCTCATGGAAAAACCATTATCAGACATGACGTAGAGCAGGAAAGAATGTTCCAGGAAGCAAAGAAAGAAATAGAAGAATTATAACAACCAAAATCAGAACATGTGAGAACACGGAATGAATATAATAGATTGTCACTCACTGGACCCTCCTTGGGCATGGGACATCAGTTTTTTGTAGGCTTTGTCATTCAAGACGGAGTCGCTAGACGCAAGAGAGAGGGCGTAGGCGGTGATAGCCAAGGGGTACGGCTCCGACAAGGAGTTCAGCGCAGTACGCAGGTAATCTATCGCTCTACTAATGCTGCTTCTCTGTAACAGCAGGAAGAGAAAAAAAACACAGGAACAATTTAAATACTTTGATAAGTTCTAAAAGTAAGATAAGTGTCCTCAAATCCTGCCAGAAATCAATTGAGCTCTAACTCATGCTAACTTCCTGTACATTCTGCTTCTGAGGCACTGTTATCAGTTACATTGTTTCCAGCTCCCTCTTATTGTCCCCCCCTCCCCATCCTGGTTATGGAGCTGAGGACAGGAGGAGGTGTTATGTAGTTCTAACACACTTCCTACCCTAGAGTGACAACACTGCTGCTCCACAGATACAGTACAATAAGCAAACATTATTACTCTAGGACAGGAAGTGCGTTACTGCCAGGATCATTAAGTGAAAATAAAGAATAAAAAACTGGAAATAAAGGAAAACACAGGAACAAGTGTATTGATTTGATAAGTGCCACAAATCCATTGAGCTCCTAACTTCATGTACACTTGGTTTAGCTGAATTGTTATCAGTTACATTGATCCCAGTTCCCTCTCATTTCCTGTTGTGTCCATGGGAGAGGAAATGAACTGAAATCTCCCCAATCAGATAGCAAGACGCCTAACAGGTTATAGCCCTCCCCTACTATATCCAAGAAGGAATGTGGTTCCTGATACACTTTACCATAAAATACTACAATATAAAATGCCAGGTTCAGGTACCACTTTGCTTTCATCTTCAGCAAGCGCGTCCTTGGAATAGTGGAGAGCAATCAGCACGTAGGCTGTGAGTGACACTTCAGCGTTCTTCCCAGAAACACCTCCCTGCAGAGATAAAAGACAGATTTGGATACTCGGGTCAGTTCACTTAAAGCAGTTCTGTTATCATGAATGCGTCATTAACTGTATTGTTCTGGATGTAAGCAGTGTAAGTAACTTAATCTAACCAGAGGTATCAGCCTCTAGCAGTCCCTGTACAGCAGGGCTGGAGAGTGCGAGGAAGAAGCAACACCAGGAGCCGATCAGTACATGTGCTGACAAACAGCATGTTAATAGACGAACAGAGCAGAGTGACAGATGAGCTCATCACTGTGCTGCTTCTCCTTTCACTGTCCAGTCACAGGCTATGGACGGGCCAATGTGATGGCCTGGGCTTAGAGGAAGTCGGTTGAATGATGCTAGTCATCATTTAATCCAGAAGACTGACGACATCTTGTGGTGGAAAAGATGTACTGCAAGTCTGTCCACTCTGACTCCTACTATGCCCAGTTTCAGACCCATGGTAGCATTGACAGACATGCTGTCAAGAAGCCTTTGCTGCGTGAGTGATGTGCATGTGCATTTGTCATGTAGGGTCTATAGAGCCTGGCCTGGCTGTGCTCATCTGCGCAGATGTGCGCGCGTCAGCATGCACGTTCGTCAGTGTGTGCATGGGTGCACATGCTACAGATTCTGGCCCCAGACGGGCTATTTAGGTTGTGCCTCCCTCATGCTCTGTGCTGAGTGATCGTCAGTTTCCTGCTTCCGAGATCCTGCGCTCTGACCTTGCTGCCTGATACTGACCAGACTTGACCATGACCAAATTACAAAGATGACAATCATTCGATAGTAATATCAATGGACGAACGAATCAATGGTGTCAAAAAGGAGAGAATACAGTCAGGGGCGTCCCGAGGCCCGGTATCAACCGGTCTCCAGACTGGGTGACACCCCGCCGTGTCGTCATTGCGCATGCGCGGTCATCTAATTGACGCCTGTCGGCGGCCATCTTGTTGATGGACGCCGGCAGAGAGAGAAGGGGACATTCACCCGGCAGGATGAGGTATGCCGCTTGGTCCCATCCTCTCTCCTGACACTGTTGGGCTCTCGGTCCATGACCGAGTGCCCGACTTTTTAGAGGGGTTGACACCAAAATGACTGTTAGTCATTTTGTTGTCACCCCTGCAATGGTGTCACCGGGGAGCAGGCCGCACCCCCCGCACAACCCTTGTGATGCCACAGAATACAGTACATTTATAGTTGTAATTAGGGCCACTTCTTCATTTATGCTGTAAGGTGTCATTAGTCTAAATTGTTTTGCATTGACATACACTTTAACTATCTATTACATCACTGATTTTTTTTATCTATTTGACATGAATTGGTAAGTTATGGTATACGTTGGTAGTTTATATGCAACTCAGTTGGCTCCTTTCCTGACTCTCCTCAATGGACACGCCTTGGACACTCATTATTATTGTCAGGAGACTTTAAAACCAAATTCCGTTTTTAAGTGAAGGGTTAAAGGTAGGGAGGGATGCACCGCGATTTCAGCTGCCAAAACATATCGGCCGAAAATGGCACTTTTGGCAATATCCCGAAAGTGCCATCTTTCAGACGAAATTGCAGTGAATCTGACACAGTGCAGCGTCCAGCAGGGAGGAGAGAAACTGTCACAGGAGGCGGGGATAGCGGTGTGGGGAAGGAGTCAGCTGTCACAGGAGGCAGGGATGGCGGTGTGGGGAAGGAGTCAGCTGTCACAGGAGGCGGGGATAGCGGTGTGGGGAAGGAGTCAGCTGTCACAGGAGGCGGGGATGGCGGTGTCAGCTGTCACAGGAGGCGGGGATAGCGGTGTGGGGAAGGAGTCAGCTGTCACAGGAGATTGAGCTCTCCTCCCCGCATCGCTCACTCAGCCTCCTGTGACAGCAAGTCGGGAAGGAGACGAGTGAAAACACTCAGTGATCAGTGATCGCTGATTGTTTGTAAATAATTGAGGACAGAGTATGGTTACTGTGTCCCCAATTATGAATGAATGGGAAGTGATCTACATCACCTCCCGTTCATTCATGATTGGGGACACAGTAAACATACAATATCCACAAGTTATGAATGAACAGGAACACTCAGTATAGAAGATTCCTGTTCATTGAAAACAGGGGCTGCAGAAAAAGAGATGGAGGGCTCTGTGTTCTCAATCTCTTTTTCTATTTTAAAAGGGAAATATCAGGGGTCGGTTTAGAGCCCCAATATTTCCCCAAAGCCCCTAAAAGTAAAGTAAAAAAATAAAAATATATAATATTAATAAATAATTAATAAATAAGAACAGTAATATGTAATGCAGTTTGGAGAGTCCTGTGTCTTCTTACCGTCATATCTTGGTGGATGACCGCCGTGGTTTCCGGGAAAGCCCCAGTGTCGGTCTGCTTGGTGGTGAGATAGGCGACAGATTTCCGGATCTCTTCTACGTCAACGTCAATATATTTACGACATAAGGACATCACTTTCACCACGAAAGATGTGAGCCTGAGGAAACAGAGGGAGCCAACAGTAGACATTACATCTCAGATTATTTGTTCCTTAATCAGAAGAATCTGTAAAAAATAAGTCAAGGCAACTGGACTCTGGACTTGCTGTATTTTTCTTGAAGACGTTTCACTGGTCATCCGACCAGCTTTCTCAATTCAGAATGTGTTGTGCAAAAAATTATCTGGGAATAAATATGGTGAATGGAGGTAAAGAATTTTAGGGAAACCTGAAGAAATATGGAGGATTCCATTACAGACCTGCCCCAGAACCAGCAACAAGTGAAGTCAGAACTCTGACTAATGTGACAGACATTTAGCATTTTCAGCCAGTAACTTGGGTATTTCCTAGGCTTCAGTTAATAATAGAACTGGAATCTCGGGTTCTCCTCTTACCAGGTGCTGCTGGGTCTATGTAGCCAGGCGCCGTAGGATCCATCCGGTTTCCTGTACTGTAATATCCTTGTGTATCCTGGGAACAAACAGAGCCATGCATCAATAACCATTCATTTTATGCGAGTAGAATTTGTCTTTATTTTTCCAACATATAGCTTTATACATAGTAGCCAGGAAAACATGTACAGGGTTATTCACAAAGCTACCGAAGGCAGCCGAGTGAATAACCCACCTGAAGTGAAGTGAGACAAACGTTGTTCAGGCTTGTACAGCTGATTTCTGCAGTGCAGAAGGACTTTGACTCAGCCGGTCCAACATCTGGATCGATTGACCCGAAGATCCCGCAGCTCATTCGCTGCCCTTCTCCCCTATTCACATAGTGGCCGCACAGCAGTGAGTGATTAGCTGAATGCCGCCTAGCGGCATTCGGCTCGGCTATTCTGCTCAGTATCAAGCAGAATAGGAACTCAATGAAAAAAAGGTTCAAAAATGTAAATAAATAATAAATGTAAAATAAAAAAAAATAAAGATTTAAAAAATAAATAAAAAGAAAACAATTGGGCGGAGCTAGCAGTGGCAGCTAGATCTGCCCAACTGTTTCCTATTGAGCTGGCTCCACCAAGTTGTCATTGTTTAATGACAGATCACCTGGGGATGCTGATCTGTCATTGCAACTGGGTGGAGCCAGCCGTGAGATCACGGCTGGCTCTGCCCAGCTGCCACTTGGGAGGTGTTTGGCCGGCCGCCTTCGGGAGCTGTATGGGCTATTGTGAATAGCCCGTACAGCAGCCCTTCAGTTCGACTGAGCCGAAGGGCTCCGGTGGCTGAAGCTAGCCGAAGGATCAGCCGGAGCTACGGCTGATCCTTCAGCTAGCTTTGTGAATAACCCCCTTAGATGGCACTTTTCTGTAATGGGAAACAATGTGCAGCTTATGTACTCCCCCTAGTGGGACATTCCATGTGACATGAGGGGCCAATGGACAATTTGCAAACACATAACTATTCAACGCTGAGTGCCAGTTATAAAAAATAAGCATAGGCTGACGTGCTTTTCACATTTTACACAATTTTAGTGCCTGCTTACAAAACGCATCAGTACTTTAGCAACTGGGTGTAACATATTTAAAATCAAGCAACAAATATGACTATTTCATTTAAAACCAAGATATTAAAAACCAATAGCAAAAATGGCATACATTGAGGCTTAGAAGTCCTTATATTTGGCGGCTGCCTTAGTTCTCTGTTTTTCAAGCTTAGTAAAAAATGTTTACAAGTACAGAAAAATATCTGTTGATTCTGATAGAAATTCAGTGACCTTGTAGCAATGCTATCTGCCTTCCCAGCTATCTGAAATACACAGCAACTTCTTCCTATGTAATGGGGATGAGTCTATACGGAGTTGCTTGTAGTACAAATCTGGTACAAAGGATGACCAGGTAAAAAAAAAAAAAAGAGCCTGAGAAAAAAAATAATGCAGCCACCACCTCTTAGGACTGCTAAGCTCCTTCTGTTTTCGGGTTTAGATACACTTTAACATCTATAGCAAAGAGAACAGCTATTGTCTTTATAGTTGGCACATTGAGTACATTTAAATGAAACCTGTCACAAACCCAAGCAATAACTGAACCTTTGATGATAAAATGTATCAGCAGAGGTTCCCTCGTGTCAAAACAACTGGTGAAAACCTAGAGCTTGAGGCAGCTAAAGCTAAACTGCTGTACAACCCGAGCTTGCCCCCTCACCCCCAAGATTCTCCCCTAAGCTGGCCATACACCAGTAGAATTTTGTTAGAAAAATCCTTTTGGAACATTTGTCTGATTTTCTAACAGTCAATGGGGTGAAATTTAACCACAGTGATGGAAAAAAAGTCGAAGAAATCTAACAGTGAACGAGACTTTCTTTCGGAAGTAACATTCATTCCAAAGTTGAATGTTAAAACCCAAGGTCATTTTGAATGACATTTTTTGGGTGTCTGATGGCATTATCAAATGTTCTGATGAGATCTCTCAGATGAACGTTCATACAAACATCTACCGGTGTACAGCCACATGATGCGAGGCCTTCAGGGAAGCTCATGTAATAAGGTAATAAGGGGCAGAGACACGTTAGACTTCTATAGGAAACGTCAAGATTTACATATAACTTCCTTCTACACTCATTGTAGAACCGACGTCTTCCGTATCAGACACACTTCTCTTCTTCTAACAGTCGTTGCCTCATCAAAATGAATTGATCGTCCACATTTTTCACCGTGAATTGTCTTACCGTTTCTCATGTTCTCCAGGCCCTGGTCTTTGCGATCCGGTGGGAGACTAAGCCACTTATCGGTTTGGTCGAGGTAGCGCATGGCGTACACCCCCGGGGCAGTAGAGATCATAGTTTGCTCGGCGCAGCCATAGGGGACACGGATCAACTTGCTCACTCCATCCGAGCTCAGGGTGTTGTTTATGGTGTTTATTGGGCTGTCCACTGCAGAGGAATAAACCAAAGATTTGCCATGAGGATAGATAAGTGCAAATTGGCATCTAATGAAGCAGTTACTGTGTGCTTAGGTGGTGTTAAAGGAATTATAGTTAAAAACAAACTATGACAAAGTATGAAAATATGATCAGCATAATGTTAAGTCTTTTTATCTTATCTTCACATATACATGTGAAAAAAACCCCAAAACCTGAATTTAATAAATCTTATTGGCATGATTTGTGCTTTGCCTAAACCAGACAATGCAACAAGTTTACCATAAGAGTGGACACAACAGCAGCACATGCTCATCTATATTATATTCAGATCGGCTTGTTACAGGTTACAAAGCAAGGAAATCCTCCCCGCAGTGTAACCTGTCATGGACGGAGCGCTGACTGTTAATTACAGGCGGCCCTGCATCCGGCTTTTGACAGGTAGTTAGGTTACACAGCAGCGGGCTTCCCCACTGCTTGTGTAACCTAACTTGGTGAGGCGAGAGCTGTCACAGCTTCTACTCTGTGTTAGAGGCTTGAGCTGTGCGGATGGCTTGGACCAATGGCAAGGCGCCATTGGTCCAAGCATAAAAAAAACAACAACAGTGAGGACATAGATCTCGATGCCTCACCAGTGACGAGGCTTCTCCCTGTCTACTCCCCACACAGCTTGGTTACCGAGCTGGGGGTGGGCTTTGGTGGGATGGGGCGGGGCTTCAGAGGTGCGGGGGTTTGGCGGGCTGGGGGATGCCTCACCCAGCACAGAAGGCACAGTACATCACTGCGTCTAGGGAGCATGTGATTCACACCACTTCCTCCCATGTGATACTGTTGGTGCATGGCAAATAGGGGCACCCAGTTCTGGCACAAGGGGGCGAAGGGTGTCCTTAGTCCTGTGTAAACTCTAACCCATGACTTGGAGCTTACACAAGGCCACTCCTTCTTGATTTGGTTGACTTAAAAAAAAAAGCATGGGGGAAGAGTGGAGGTTTAAAAGTAGTTTAGTACCCGGGTGCGGCCCGCACCCGGGTGACACCAAAATCACTGACAGTCATTTTGGTGTCACCCCCTCTAAAAAGTCGGGCACTCAGTCAGGGACTGAGAGCGCGACAGTGTCAGGAGAGAGGAGGGGACCCGGCGGCATACCTCATCCCGCCGGCTAAACGTCCCCTCCTCTCTCTGCCAGCGTCCATCACTAAGATGGCCGCTGGCAGGCGTAAATTAGATGACTGCGCGAATGCGCGATGACGTCACGGCCCCGGGTGGCACCCGGCCTCGGGATGCCCCTGACTGTATGTACATGGTGGCAACCCTGGCGGTTTCATGCATATTCAGGCTCTGCTTCCTGCTGAGCAGCTACGTTTTTTGTTAGATGTTTTTACAATTTAGCTTAGGTTGTCACCTAGTAGAGATGTTCTATGGTTTGGATTAACATAGGAAAAGAAGTGGTCTCTCTGCAGCAGTGTGACGCTTACCCCTCCACCGAGTCAGAGCTAGAGTTGCGCAATCAGCAAAACTCATGCTCCCTGATGATTGGAGAGTTCTAGCTCTGACTCAGCAGGGTGGACATGCCAGACCCCTGCAGGAAGACCACTGCTTACACACAAAAAAACAGCATACCAGCAGGGGACAGGCTTTTGTACTCCAGCTGTGGCTGCTTTCCACCAAAATTAAACTGTATGACTTTTGCGCACCTTTTTTTGATTCATGACATTTATTTAGCTGATTAAACTATAAATGAACTTTCATATTCAATCACTTCTATTCCTGTGACCGCTTTCTGTGTTGCCCCCAATCTGACCTTAGGCCTTGTTTGTCTAAATGCAGCCTTGACAGTACTTACTGGTAATTTTGACACTAGAGCGGAAATCGCCATCTGGGATCACATTTGGAGGTAAGTCCTCATTGATTGTTATAGAACTCCTGGCTCTGTCTGTATTAAAATGAAGGAGACACAATAAGCTCAGGCTACAATTTGTGATATAAAACAGAAAGGAAGCTATATTACCTTTTATTCCTCTAGACAGTCAGTATAGTGTTCACACAAACAACAGCAAGACAAATCTGAAGGACAAGCTGCAGTCCCCACCTAGGCACCACCCCTCTGCCGGGTTTCACCCATATGGGCTCTATCGTAGACTCTCTATGATTCTCTACGATTAAGCCCATATGGGTGAAACATGCTAAAGGGCAGTGCCTAAGCGGAGATTGCAACATGCTCTTCATACTTGTCTTGCTGAATAAAGTTACTTGTGAGTGATGTTACCGGCAGTGCGGCCTGTTGTTTGTGTGGATTGTGTATGGCTGGAACCCAGTATCATAGTAACATAGTATGTAAGGTTGAATAAAGACCAAGGTCCATCCAGTTCAACCTGTGTATGCAGACATCCCAACTCTCCCGGACATTCCAAGAGTCTCCCGCTATAAGATAGCGGCTCCCGGCCGCCCGCGGAGAAACATTTTCTCCCGGAAAGGTTTAACCTGCTCGATCTAGCAGAGTAAACCTTTCCCTGCGGTTTTTTTTTTTTTTTTTACTCTGATATCGGAGCCGCCGGCTGCCGTCAAAGTAAAAAAAAAAAAAAGCATAGAAATGCAAATTGAAATCGACAATAGCAATCTAGCTATTCATTCCTATTCTGTTTTTTTTTTTTATTCTGACGGCAATAGCTTCTTTCCTATCTGTCATAATTTCAGGGGAGTGATCTCCCCCCCGGATGGGGTGGGCAGAGGCAGGGCTGTCTTTAACGCAGGGCAAAAGGGGCAGTTGCCCCGGGCCCAGTCATTGCTGTGAGGCTCAAAGCAGCAGCCCCTTGAGCCTGCTAAAGTTACAAACCAAGCCCCGTTGTGTTCACTATGCAATCGGCATTGCATAGTGTTGCTTTGCCCCTGCTGTACACTGAGTAGCGTGACCCCATGATGTCTCACGCGGGGTCACGTCTCCCTCTGATGTCTCCTTCCATCTGCTCTGCAGGAGGAGGAACCGTGTGTGTGTGTGTGTGTTTCTCCGGCTCTACAACTTCCCATATCTCTGTAGATTCTGCGAGAGAAGAAACTCATCCAGTAGTTTCTTGAATGTATCAATGTTATCAGCAGATCCCACCACCTGCGGAAGGAAATTCCAAACTTTCACCACTCTCACAGTGAAATACCCCTTGTGAATCCTAAGATTGAACCCCTTCTCTTCTAACCTCTTGTGTCCCCGGGTTCTCAATACAGTTTTGGGATTAAACAGTTTGTTCCTAATATTGGGGTCCCCATTGATGATTTTGAAGACTGCAATAAGGTCCCCTCTTAATCGTCTCTTCTCTAAGGTGAATAAGTTAAGATTTTGAATGAGGTCCTCATAACTCAGGCCTTCGATTCCTTTAGCGATGGTCATTCATTACAGAGGGCTGAGGGTTTTAAAGCGGTTGAATTCTCTATCTTTTACCTTGATGGTATAGGGTTTATTCAAGAGGTGCCTATGTAGCTTCAGTTATCTTCTAAAGCACCTCAGGACCTCAAAATCAAGGCGAGTCCAAAGTAGGTTTATACAGATTTAGGGATTAAATGGTCAACAAATCAGCCAAAGAAAGAGACAAAACGCAGTTTATATGGGTATGGAGGGTATATATGGATTCTATCCCCAGTATCTCCAATAAAGGATGCAGAGCCCTTTGGTTCTGAAGGATAATATTTGAAAGGACCTGAAAAATCCTGGCCTCCGTACTATTGAAGGTGAGTGTTCTTGCATCCTAGATTTTGGAGAATTTCCTCCTTAGTTTGGTAGCTGACTAACTATCAGGTGACATCTCATGGAGGGTCTCCATCTGGTCTGCGAGGTCTCACTGCTTTGTGGACTTTTTCAAATGCTATGGGTGGTTCTGGGTGTTGGTCCAGGAGGCTATTGAAGATTGGTTGCATACTTTCTGGCTCTTCTGATTCAGTAAGACCTCCAAATCGCACATTTTCCATTACCAAGGTCTTCCATGTGCCTTTGCATGTGGACCCCGTGCTGGTCATTTTACATCAATACATATAAATACAGATGTTGTACTGCACAGAACATCTATGTTATTACCTTCTGGATTCAAAACATATGTTTTCTCGTCAACTACTGGAACACCTTCTCTCTGTTAGGAAAGGGAAATGAATAACAAATTCTGCAATAGGATAAACTCTAACGGAATGGCATTTAGATTGCTAAATCACTGTGTATCATTAACAATTGCCTTTTCTTATTATTAAAATACTTGTTTTCAAAATGTTTTCATTCTCAGCACATTTCAGTGCTACTGATCTCCTGCAGCCCATTTGAGGTACTTCCTGTCTACATGCTCTCCAGTGATGGTTGCATGGCATTTCTCAAGCAGGGTTTCCTGACTGTGACAACAGCGAAACACGCCTTTGTAATGTATGTTTGTCTGGCTGCTTGTAGTCTGTATAGGAAGCCCATGTGACAAAGCAGGAGAAGAACTGGGAGACAGAGTTGTCACCTTATAACAAGAAGCCTAAACAATGGCCTTCATGGCAGGATCACCAGCTATTATTTTAATGGTGCTATGTATGTGTTGACCAAAAAAATGTCATGACCTCTTTTGACCTTTGACACACTGTGAAGGAACTCATGGCCACAGCAACTCGCTAACTGGGCGAAATTTTTTTTTGTGGAGGGGCAATGAGGAGAAGGCTTCCTTTCGGGAGGTAAAGCTGGACTGTGAAACAGTTATCACAGCTTGCAATACCACTGGTCACCACTGGAAGGAGACTCATCCAAATTTAGCTGGCAGGACACACACAGGCAGATACCACTCTTTGGTACAATCTGTTGTCCTCTAAGTGATGTGGAGTCGCCAAGTGATTCCCACACACTTCTGAGATACTTTTGAGAGCTTCCTCAAGCTATCCTACAAACTAGAATCCTTGTATGATCACTTTTCCCACTGGTCACACACTTGCAACAGACATACAGTTTAGGATAGCATGCACCACCTGCAGTTTCTCAGGTGCACTGGGCCTAGCCTGGGGGTGAGATGTACAAGGTTGGAGAAGCAAACTAGGCCTTAAGCCCGTAGGAGGCCAGATGTGGACCCAGGAGGGGACTGGAACTGTGTGGGATGGAGAACCAGAGGAGCCCTATGCTTGCTGGAGGTGCCAGGAAGGTTGGGATGGCATGGACCTCAGGAACAACACTGGTATTTCTCCCAAGGAAGAACTCAAGCACATCCTCTATCCAGCTGTGGTTATGTTACACAGCGTCATCGTCCGCTCAACTAAAGTATTCCTGCACTGTGGAAGCTGGAAGGGATTGGTGAGTCTGGAGTCTATTTTTGTCCATGGATGTCTGAAGTCATATACCCTCTCTACCAGTTTTGGCTGTTCTACAATAAAACATTGAAAAGTACTTAAAATGACTGGTGCCCAATTCACTGTTCACATCCCATTACCCGGCTAGGTATCCATCCCTGAGAGTGAAATATCAGCTCTCCCTGCCTCTGGGGTTCACCACATGCCATAGGGGGTCAGGGGGGCGCTGCAGCAGTATGGTTTATCCTGCTGGTGGGAGCACACCGAAGGTTCCAGCAATAGTTTAGAGCAAGCTCCGAATAAGCTTTATCATTTTTCATGTTTCTCAATTTATAGATGTATTGATGTGGGATGGACTTTAAGCCTTGACCAATCACCTTTGGAGGTATTAACTCATCTGCTGTAAGGGTTCTGGCCTCCTAAAGTGACCAAAGGTTACACGGACCAGCCAGTTTTGATGGCTGGGTCAGAGTTAGGATTTCTGGAACCAGAGCGCCCTCCCAATCGGAGTCCAAACACCACATGACTGCTCTGAGAAGGCCCCATATAACTGTTTTGTTGGTCCCTAGCGTGTGCTATTGGACCAGAACCTACCATTTTGTATTCACGTGAAGCTTACAATGTGTACATTTAAAAGGGGTTTTGTCATCTCCCTGAAATTAATATTTTGGATTTTATTAGAGATTAACCTTTTCCCTATTATAGATATACAACCCTTCTCACCTCGATATGAAGCACTTTGTTCACAGCGTCAGACATGCCAACCGGGCCCAGAGCCATGATAGTCACACTCAGGTCTTCCTTTCCAATGGGAACCACAGAGAATGGGATGGAGAGAGCCGACTTGTTGCCCACGGTTACAATGCGCTCTATGGCACCTCCATCAGGTGTGCTGGGGGTACACAGCCCCTCTGCTTTCGTTACGAACACTCTGACCTGTTCCAGGAGAGAAGAGCAAAGAAGCTAAGGAATTCCAATCTCGTGTACCATTCATGACATCCCTTGTTTGTTCTGCATAGGTACTCTGATTATTGTGAATACAGATCATGAATTCCACTATAAACTTTATAATGTATGTTAAGCTTTAACCCAGGCTTGCCTAAGTGATAACGGGCCCTGAAATCCTTATACGTTAGTGAATAAGAGAGTAACAGTAACAGACATATGGGAGACTTTAGCGAGGTTATTTGTTATTCTAAAAGTAAAATAACTAGTTACATGCAGGAAGACAAGCATTAACAAAGATTAACCTTATCCCGCCGGGTGACTGTCCCCTCCTCTCTCTGCCGGCGTCCATCACCAAGATCACCAAGATGGCCGCCGGCAGGTATCAGAATACTGTTGCGCGTGCGCTCGGTGACGTCACGCGCATGTGCAGTGACGTATCGGCGGGGTGACACTCGGTTACCGCTCTGGGTGTCACCCCTGATATATATACTGTATATATAAAACATCCCCCATAAGGTGCCCATACACCTTACGATTATCGTACAATAGTCGTATGCAATCGAGTTTTCGGCCGATAATCGCAAGGTGTATGGGCAGTGTACAACCACAAATACTACGATTATTCCAAGGTTTGTGGCGTTTCCGTACGTCAACAATCGTACGATCTACACTGCTCATGCGCAAACGAAAATACGTGCGGTTGATTAACCGCAATTCGTCCAGGTGCTTTTCTTTCATTACGGCTAATTGAACCTTGCGATAATCGGGGCAGGATAGGGCCGGCGTACGAAAATCGTACGATGGTTCGATCATCGGACGAAAAGTGTCGTCCGGTAATCGTAAGGTGTATGGCCACCTTTATATTGTATTGCCTTGAGCCTTCCCCATCTGCTAGTCAATACTTAGCACTGCATCTCTGCAATGGACACATGCTCTAATTTTAAAAGGGTAAATAGACCGCTAGACATTTCACCTGTGCCTGATCAACAGGTTAGTGTGCAGCTCATGCCATGGTTCATGTCTGACTTTTATATCCTCATGCCCTGAATTATTCCTGAAAGTGTTTGGACTGCGCTTGTACAGAGAGCTGCTATAAGTCCTCATGAACATGAGGCTAAGCAAGGCAGGCTAAAAACTAAGAAAGAGTGGTGCTTTTAGATCCCACCTAGGTTCTACTTGCCTTGCTGGTCTGCCTATTCATATTTGGTCATTGTTGTCATATCAACATTTCCAAAGTAGCCCATCTAGTTTTGTAACATTGCACTAGCCAGCCCCTGCATATCAAGGCTTGGCTACACTCAATCTTTCCCAGTTTGCCCTGCTGTTTCCCATAGTCAACAGGAAATATTACCACTATAAGATGTGAAATGGAAAGAAGGACGCCCTCCAGCCTGGCCTCCTCTTCTGATAACCTACATCCCAGATAGGGTTGTCACCTGTCTGGGATTCACCCGGACAGTCCGGGTTTTGAATGCTGTGTCCGGGTTTCATGGCAGCTGAAACCCGGACACTAGATGTCAGGCAGATAGCAACCAAAATGAAGATAGGTGCTACTGGCGCCCCCCAAATGAAAATAGTCTCGACTGTGATATTTACATAGTAATGGGTGGCGCTATTTAAATATGAATAGGCCGCGACTCATTCTCCTCCCAAAAAATTCAGTGTGTCGTAAGAGTGTTCAGGTTTTGCCGGAAGAAAAGGTGGCAACCCTAATCCCAGACATACTTTGTACAATGCCATAAGCTGGGGCTGATATATTGGGGGGGCTCCATTAAACTGCCCCCCCATCTCCCAAACAAACCATTAAACTTTTGCAGATCTTTCATGCTTGTTGTTCTTATGCGCTCTGTACAAGCTACATTTTTCAGGCAATTTCAACCACTTCTAAACTACCTCATGCAAAAGTAACAGCACAAATCAGGGCAACAATGAAACAATTGAAACTGTTGCTGGTAGGTTCTTTTGATCCATATGAACATCTGCATGATGGGAAGCTGGCTGAAAGTGGTTGAAACTGTCTAAACATTGTGTGTGTGGTCAGTATTAATGAAAGGGTTGCACCGGTACTCCACTCACCCTCAGGTCGTGGTCTTCGAAGTTATACAGTACGGGTCTCAGCTCAATCTGTTCAAATCTCTTCACCGTCAATGGAACTCTCAAGTGAATGTGGAACGGCTTGAAAACTTTCACCTTCACCGGGTCAGCCACACAAAACCCTGAAAACCGAGAGATAATCCGGGTAATACCAATGAAGAGTTTCAATGGAGAAGAGGAGACTCATGTATGTACGGCAGACATTTATTAAAAAAGATAACCAAAGTTATAGCAATACTCAACCTGCTCTCTGCATACAAACATTAGAGAAAGGGCTGAAAGACATACCTTAAGCTGTGAAAATGGTTGCGGCATTGGTCATGTGATCTCCACTGGGGGACTTTTACAGTTTTAGAGGATGTTGTGCACAGAGGCCAGAATGAATCGACAAAGTCATATTTTTTTCCCCTCACCTTTTCCTGTAGACATTCCGACTGCTTGGATCTCCCATGTGGTGATAGAATCTGGGACTATGGAAGTTTCACTACAAAAAAATAAAGTAACTGTTTTTTTTTCTCAGTAATTACTTTGTGCATTTGAGAATTTTACAGACTGAATAATTGGAATACTAGACTAATAACTGGACCACATACTGACCATTTGACACCAAGGAGAGTTTTTAACACTGTGCTACCAATGACAGTCTGTATATTCTTCATTGTCTAGCAGTATCTGACACTGTACACTGTTCATTGCAGTGTTATATTGTCCATCAATGACGCTAAAATTATCTATGCCATGTGCTGGTTATTGGCTATGTGTGAGCACCCTAAGCCATTAAGGAGCTTAAACCATCTTACTCCAAGCTTTTTTTTCTTTTTTCTTATTAGCTTAAAAATAAAATACAGCTAGCTGGTTGCTATACTCATCTCATCTCCAGTGCTATCCACCTCAGTAATCCCTTTTTACCACAAAATGTCCTCAGTCTTTTGGGTGGGAATGGAAGATAGAAAGACGTCATCAGCACTCCAATCGGAAGCTTCACATTAGCGTAAATCCAATTTATTAGCAAAAGTCATGAAGACAAGCACTTTCGGGGGCCACGCAGGGTCCCCTTCATCAGACTCGTCACTACTGAGCCTGATGAAGGGGACCCTGAGTGGCCCCGAAAGCGCTTGTCTTCATGACTTTAGCTAATAAATACGATTTACACTAATGTGAATCTTTGGATTGGAGTGCTGATGATGTCTTTCTATCTTCTGTTGCATTGTGAGCGGCGCCATCCGCGGTCATTGCGAGCACTTATTATTATTGGGACAGACCGGTAAGGAGTACAACAAGGTATATGGATTTTTTTTTCGGGTGGAAATGACGCAGGAAAGACTGAGTGTGGGTCATCTAAGACCTGCACCTAAGGAGGCATCACTCGTTATAAAGCCCTGCACTCACAGTGTAATGATGCATCATTGAGGACTACCCACCACCGCAGTGTGTGTGTAATATATATAAGGACCCTGCAAGGGAACGGAGCCACCTTAAAACAGGATATCAGGGCCAGTGCTCAGTGGACCAGCTGATTAAAACTTTTAAACATCACCACATCCATTGTAAGTGATTCAATCTGCATCAATCATCAAGCTTAAAACCTATATATATATACTGTATATACACAGTATATATATATACAGTATATATATACACCGTATATATAAATATATATACACACACGTATATTATATATAATATAAATTATATTGATCATATATTTATATTCCTTGCTTGCTTATTTATATACTTAATGCACAATTATAGGTTAACACACTAGCTGTTGTTGGAAAAAATAAACCCTGCTTCCGGTTATCTTTAGTTGGTCATCTGTGAAACTTTCACAGATCTGTCTATAAATGCCACTAAGTTTTTTGTTTTTTTAATCAGCTCGTCATTCAGGAATATTACTTCCTTGGGCAGAAGTGTGTAATAGAAATGGTGATACATACGTGTACTTTTTGTTCACCGTGACCGTCTTCCATAACCAGGTTTCTGGGAAGTTTGAGCGAACCTGAACCTCACTTTCATCTGTGAAATCCTCTTCATCTTGATTGTCTGTCTGGGCTGCAGAAAAACACAATTTTTAGAAAATAGAAAGCTAAAAGAATGACGGCAGAAAGAGACCGAGTGCTCCGTCCAGTCTGACCCTTTTTTTGTACATTTTTGTTAATATTTTTTGACTTGGTTTGTTTCTTTCCCTTTCTTGTCTGGGTATAGACTTATGTTTATCTCAAGTATTTTTAAACTCACTTATTGTCGATGGTCTCCCTACCTCTGCTGGAAGTCTGTTTCAAGCATCAACTACTCTTTAGGTAAAATTATACTTTCTATTGGTACTTTGGAAACTTCCTCCTGCTAAATTGAGGCCACGTCCCCATATTCTTGATCTTAATTTAACACTAAAAATTTGCCTTCCTGAAACTTTTTTACACCCACGTTGTATTTAAAGGTTTTAATCATGTCCCCCCCTTTCCCTTCTTTCCTCAAGACTGTGCATATTTAAGTGATATGAAAGCCTTATTTTTTTTTTCTAGTGATGAGAGCATATGACAGTGTATGCAGCTTCTACTTTGGACTGGCGCTTTCCCACACAATCACCTGGTCCCCTCAGCTCCTGCCCCACTTACTGTACCAGAGATTCAGGGTGGCTCCTCTTCCTTGCAGAGTCAGTCCTATGTAGCCACCTGCCCATTTCCAGAAGTTGGGTGAAACAATGCTGTACAACCGAGAACCATTGGCGGACTGCAGTCAGAAATTTATTTGTGTCCTTATATTTAGTGAATTACACTCTGGAGAGTAGTAAACTTGCTATGAAGGCAATATTTAAGATAACTGTCAGCATTTAATACTACTTTAAGTTCCTGCAGACTCTCCTGATATGTTTTATCCCTCAGTCCTTGTGTCTGGACTTGTTCTATCACATCACTGTGTTTTTGTAAGTGAGGTTTCCAGAACTGGACACAGTATTCTAAATTAGGTCTAACTAAAAATCTGTATAGAGGGATCAGGACCTCCTTCCTCCTGCTGGAGATCCCTCTAGTGATATCTAAAGATCTATATAGAGGAATCAGGACCTCCTTCCTCCTGCTGGAGATCCCTCTACTGATAACTAAATATCTCTATAGAAGAATCAGGACCTCCTTCCTCATGCTGGGGATCCCTCTAGTGATAACTAAAGATCTATATAGTGGGATCAGGACCTTCTTCCTCCTGTTGGGGATCCCCCTAGTGATAACTAAAGATCTATATAGAAGAATCAGGACCTCCTTCCTCATGCTGGGGATCCCTCTAGTGATAACTAAAGATCTATATAGTGGGATCAGGACCTTTTTCCTCCTGTTGGGGACCCCTCTACTGATAACTAAAGATCTCTATAGAAGAATCAGGACCTCCTTCTTCATGCTGGGGATCCCTCTAGTGATAACTAAAGATCTATATAGTGGGATCAGGACATCCTTCCTCCTGTTGGGGATACCTCTACAGATAACTAAAGATCTCTATAGAAGAATCAGGACCTCCTTCCTCATGCTGGTGACCCCTCTAGTGATAACTAAAGATCTATATAGAGGAATCAGGACCTCCTTCCTCCTGCCGGTGGTCCCTCTGCTGAAAACTAAAGATCAATATAGAGGAATCAGGACCTCCTTCCTCCTGCTGGAGATCCCTCTAGTGATAACTCGAGATCTATATAGAGGATTAAAGGATTACATTCCTGTGTTTGAGTTCACATTCTCCAAAGGAGGAGAAGTTAAAGGGTTGGTGATATTTCTGTGTTTGGTAGATGCTGGAGAGTTAAACCCCTTGACAGGTACTCTCTTAGGGAGATCCTCTCAGGGACCCTATTAGTGAGATCTCTGCGCGTTCCTGTATCTTCATATTTCATATGCCCATTATGAGGAGCTCCCACAATCCCTGCTGGATTTTTAAAATTCATTTCATATTAAGGAGAATGTAAGAGGGGGATCTGGTCAAACCAGGATGGGCAAGAACACCAAAAAGTTTCAGGTGGCCCGGGAACAGAGGGGATAAATGGGAGGGAGATCGCATTGCTGGAGCATCAAAGAAGCCAGGGGCTATGCACCCGCCTCCACCAATAACTAATTATCACATTCAGGAAGATCACACCTTTAACTCTCCCTGCTAAATTTATAATGTATTTTGTATGATGGAGAATGCATTTGGTTAACCAGGCAGGAATGGGAAAACATTCTTGCTGGTGAAGATCCCTAGGGTGAAATAAGCCATATAATGACTAATACCATCAGACTCCATCTGTACCTGAAAGCAAAACTTTAGACAAAACATCTTTTCTAGGTTTGAATGAGGTAGAGTAGGGTTAAATCCCTTTCAGGTTGTATCTGATGTCTGTGTCCAGATTCACTGCCACTCTTCATAATGGTGGCAATCGTCACCAAGACAGAAAGTAAGGAAAATCCACTGAGACAGGAAAAGGAAAAGTAGAGAATCCTTCCAGTGTGGACACGTACTCTGGTGACAAAAAGGGATTTTCCCTCATTTTCGGGACATTTCTTCTCATTTCAAGTTTTGTCTCTTGGTCAGAAAATGAAGCATAATCTCTCCAATGGAGACACAGATAGCAATGAAACCATGTTGTACACAAAACTAAAAGAAACACATTAAAAATCAGCCTGCAGTTCTACTTGTCATTTCACTGGTCAGTAAAACTTTTGGATAACCCTTTTATGAACTCTTTTGTGCACAATGCATATGCCAAGGGCCCCTGTACACTATCATGCATGAGTTAAAGTGACATTAAAGGATATCCCCCCCCCCCCAAAAAAAAAACTAAAGTGTAAACATTTACCTTAAATGATGCCTCTTCTCCTTTACAGTAGTTTTCAGGAGTCCCTCCAGCGCTGGTGCTGGTCTCTGATCTAGCTGACTGCTGTGTCTCGTCTGTGTCCCACAAAGTCTGTGCGGGTGCATGCTGCCAGGCTGCGTGCATTGACTTACCTTGTGTCTCTCCTCGTCTCCCAGCAGAAGATCTGTACTGCGCATGCTCTTGCCCCATCAACCCATGCAGCCGCCCGAGACTTTTCAGGTCTTCGACGGGAGCGCGCGGCAGAGACACAGGTACGTTAAAACCTTTTCGTAACTTTATTTTTTTTTTTTATGTTTTTTCATATATCTATTGCTTGCTAGATATATGCAAGACCCGCTCAGGGTTTAAATATCCCTTAAGATGCATTGAGTTGACGTGGCTATTAGATGCAATGCTGTGCACTTTTTAAAAAACAGAATTGCATTGACTTGAATGACCAAATACAGGTCATGATACTGAAAATGCAGTTGTCAGAATTACACATTGAAAAACAAGGAGCCCTGAAATAAAAACACTGAACCATGTCAGCGGAGCAGCACATTGGCTCAGTAGTTAGCACTTCTGCCTTGCAGCACTGAGCTCCCTGGTTAAAATCCATCATAGAGTTTGCATGTGCCTCCCACACTCCAAAGGCATGCTGGTAGGTTAATTGGCTCCTCCCCAAATTATCCCTAGTATGTGTAAATGTGAAAGGGGCCTTAGATTGTAAGCTCCTTGGGGGCAGGGACTGATGTGAATGTACAGTATGTAGAGCGCTGTATAAATTGTCAGTTATATATAATTCCTGTAATAAATAAAATGAACTCATCAGTTCTTACTCCTCCCGATGGTATTATTCCGCCTCTTCTCGAGGGAGATCTTCTTGCGCAGATCCTCGGCATATTGGCAGCAGTCCAGGAAGGCATTTCGGCAGTCTGCGCTTTCGACACGCCTGGCTCTGATGTCACAGTTTCTCTCCATGCGAGGAGGAAGGAGCACCATGCCGTTGTTGCAGCATTTTTGCAGATCTGGAGAAGAATAATGGTCGGCTGCAGAGATGAAAGAAAAAAATGTTGTAAGGACAGGTCACCAAGACATAATGGTCATATCATGCTGATCCCATGGCTTCTGTATTTTTGGGTTGCGAACCTGGACCAAGACAAGGGATGCAGGTTTTCCGATATCCAGTACAAGTACCGATATTGTTTCATCAGTAATTGCCGATACAGAGTACTGATATCGGCATTCCCGGCCAATCAGGAAGCCTGGGAAGCCGGCTTCATGCTCCCTCACGACACTGCGAGGCAGCCTGGCTTCCTGACTGGTCAGGAAGCCAGGATTCTTCGCAAAGTCGTTAAGCAGCGTGAAGCCGCCTTACTACCCAATCAGGAAGCTGAGCGGCATGTCATGACCTGCCGCTCAGCATCCTGGTTGGTCATTAAGCCAGGCTGCCTCGCAGTGTCGCTAGGCAGCGTGAAGTCAGCTTCCTAGCCAATCAAGGAGGCGGGACATGCCCCACCGCCTGGCTTCCAGATTGGCCAGGAAGCTGGCTCCATCCTCTCCTGTGGCACTGCCGGTCAGAGGGAATCTCTCTTTGACTGGAAGTTCCATATCAGGGTAAGTATCAGAGCATTTGGGCAAGTATGAGCAGGGGCGTCCCGAGGCTGGGTGACACCCGGAGCGGTAATCGAGTGTCACCCCGCCGAGACAATTGTGACGCCACTGAGTATGAGTACTCGCCCAAATGCTCAGTATCGGCACCAGTACCAATATTGGTATCGGTGCCTCCTTAACCAAGACAAGTAGTTCTGACTTTACTTCACCCTTCCTCCTGATTTGCCACATGTTCCACGTCGCTGACTTAAAATAATGAAGCCAAAGACAGAAGGTAAACAAGCATGTTCACAAGGAGGCCAACACAAATATCATATATTCTTTCAGTTGTTGAAGTGAACCTGTGTTCCCAACAGCTATCCTAAACTGCAGACAGCCATGCTCAGTAGGCTCCTACAGGTGCCTACATGAATATTTTTAGAGGGCTGGTTCACCTTTTCACAAAAAATAAAAAGATAAACTAACTCTATCCCGCGTCCACTGTACTTATCTGCACTGATGACCATCACCCGCCGCCCACTCCTGCCCGTATGATATCCCCCGCCTTTCAAAAACATAACTACACAGCCACGGAAGCTGTATGGCAACACAATTCTCATTGGTCATGTGGTCACGCTGACCAATGACCACTCCCCATCGCAAGCATTTTGTGGCTGTACAGCCTCCAGGGCTGTGTAGTGAAGTTTTGAAGTGCCAGAACCATGATACGGTCTGGCATGGGTGACAAGATATAGTCATCATTGTAGATAAGTTCAGCGGGGACCAGGGGTGGGGGATGGCGTTGTGAGTTAGTTTACCTTTTCATTTATGTGAAAGGGTGAACTAACCCTTTAACACTCTGTGGCCCTAAAGCCCAGGGTATATCTAATATTGAAATAGTGACTTCAATACCCGAAGTCAGGCTTGGCCCCGCCTCCTGTAGCTTACTGTTGCTCCACCTGCAAGATAGACAGCCTTGCTGACCAATGAAGAACAAGAGTTGTTTAGGGCCAGGCCAAGCATGATTTTAGGAGCTGAAGATGCTTTTTGTGTACTTATTAAACAACAATTACACAGAATTGACCCAAAACCATTATAGTTTCCCTTTAGATTTTAACCCTTCCTCTCTCTACTACAAGTGCTCCCATTGTAGAGGTTTCCCATCATTTCCTGACAGGAAGTGGGAAGAAATCTTTATATGAGGGACACAGACAACCTGACTGAGGCCACAGCCCTTCCCTTCTCTATGCAAAGCTAAATACAATGTTTTAGCCGGAGTTCACACATCTCCTTCACCGTTCAGTATCTCTTTACCTTTCTGTCTGGTGAGTGCTGCGAAGTCTATCGATCTTTTCTTCCTCTGAGGAACCCGGCAGCCTAATCCTTAAAAGAAACAAAATATTCAAACAACAGTGTTGAAAGCCAGTCCGTTCGTGCCGAGCATGTGATACATAATATAATACATAAGTCACCTTTAGTAATAACTATGACAATACCATCATGAGAACCAGATCCGGTGACACTGGCAGCTGAAGTTATATACAGCTCTCAACGTTTTTGTAAACATAAAGTTTGGCCCCACCCATTCTTCCTCCTGAGCCTGCCTATTGGTCCTTAAATATGATTAAAGCAAAAGTCACGATTTGCATATAACTTCAGCTGCCTGTAACTCTGGATCTATACACGATATTGCCATGGAAGGTAACCTTGATTTGTGTATTGTTTGTTCATCATGTGCTCAGTTTAAAATGGCCAGGTCTGTGATACTCTATAATGTATTTAACCCAAAACAATGATTTGCTCCTTTTTGGTCAGTTAATTATACCGTTGCACGTGTTTTGTTATATTTGTTTGATAAGTGCTAAAAAATACCTGTTGATCCTGCCAGAAATCCTGGGAGCCTTTAACTTCCTGTAGTCAACTGACACTATTGGACAGAAATCCCAAACTTGTTTTATCCTTCCTGCCCAGTTTATCTCTGTGGACTGCAGAACATGTTATAGAGATGAGGATAGAGGGAGGTGTTCTGAGGTCGTCGCCTCAGGCAGCATCAAATTAAGAGGGGAGGGTGTGTGACCTTTTTTTTAAAAGGTCTATAGTTCTCCTTTAGCATACTCATTATTAGTCAATATAATTGTAGAACTCAGACGAAGAACTTGTAGAACTCAGACGAAAACAAATATGGATTGGACGGCTCACCCAGGACCAAGCAGTGTGACAACCTTGGATGCCATGCTTCTGTCCTCATATCCCACCCACATGTCAGATGTGCCCTGGAGATGGCCCAATATACTCCATGGTCTATGGTCCACTCTGTATGTGTTGGGCTGCCATGCTTTGTGGCAATGTGCAATTAATGCATACGGTTTGTGACAATTTACAGAAATTCGTACTCATCCGAATTTCCGACTCCTAATGCATCCGAATGTGTCCGAATCCGAATTTCCTTTTCCAAATGTTGCATCCCGTCCGAATTTCGTTCAAGAACTAAACTGAATCGGACATGTGACTTTTCTGGCCAATCAGATGTGTTTTTCAATTTAATGCATCCAAATGGGTCTGAACACGAAATTTCGTCACGGAGCCATCTGATTGGCCAGAAAAGTCACATGCCGTAATGAAAATTTGTGTTCAGTATATACTGTACATATAATACCAAAGCTGAGGCTCCTAGACCCGAATGGCATTTGGGATCCGAATTTCCGAATGCAATTCTGTATTCTGACTGTAATATAAGTAGATACCAAAACGTAGAGTCATGACTGCCCACATCATCACCTTGCCAGGGGTCAGCTTGCCCTTGGAATTCACAAGGTACACGGCCGTGTCCACCGCCGATAAGGACACCGTTGTTACTTCGTCTGTTTCCATTGTTAGCTTGAATTGTGACCCCGGGAGAAGGCTGTTCTTTACATCCGTCCTAATTTGTAGCTGAAAAGTAAAGAAACATAATTGAACCCCATCTGTAGTCTCACACCTTTCATCCCAGCACAGTCCTGCACACCACATGTTATGATTTGTGAAAGATTTCTGTTTGGAAATGTTTAAAAAGTTTCTTTGCAATCTTAGTGTAAATGTGGCTTCCTGTACTCACACTGCAGAGCTGAGTAACAGCCACACCCCCGATGACATGAGTCCTCACACAGACACAGGAAAGGGGAGGGGGGGTGTCTGACCAGGTATTTTACTGAATGCTGATTACTGAGTGTGCTGGGTGCATTGTAACAGAAAACTGGAGGTAACAATATACCAATGGAAGCTGTTAGTACATAGTTTATCTGATTGCATATCTATTGCTGTTACTTCAACTGAGTATTAAACGGCTTCATCAAGATAACATGAAAAAAATATCACCAGTGATCTTTCAAACCCCTGGATTTTTTTTCAGAATTTCCTGGACTAATGAATACAAACCAGTTACTGCCCAGGGAGGATGATTATCAATTATAAGTTAGTGTGGATGTGGGGAGAGGCCCCTATAATATAATTATACTGTGTGCTACTTTGTGTGCTAAGTACCCAGAAGCAGAATAGCGTCAGAAGCAGGCTGTACACCCCACTGAAGACGTATTCCTTTTGCACGGTGCCCAGGCCTGGTCCTCTGGAACTCAAGGGAGCATGCCAAAATCTCCTCCTTCCCCAAGGTTGGAGACGGATGAAGCTTGCACACATGTTGCACATACACACATACAGTGACCAGGCCAGCGCAGGGTGCAAAAATATCCACCAGTCCCAGTCCTTATGAAGCACTAGAATCAAGTTTCTGGTGCAAAACATTTTTTTTAAAAATCAAAAAAATGAAAACAAATTCAGAAAGTTTACATATAATAGGAAGTATTTACAACAGCAATGGAAAAAAAACAATTGGTAAGGGAAGAAGAGCGGGTGGCTGTCACTGACCGCGGAGCTCCGCTGACTATTCATGGTGACCTGCTCTCCCTGTGCAATCTGCAGGATGGAGCTGTTACTAGTCTGACAGCTTTGTCATGTACAATGGAGACAGCCAGGCAATGTGGAGGCAACCATACCCCCCATCATGGTGCCTGAGGCGGCCGGCTCTTCTGGACCTACCTCAGCACACGGAATATAGTGTTTGGCCTCTCAGTCCCTTCCAATAACAGTCATGGCCAGCATTCCCCATCCTGCAGTGTGCCAGAATTACCTTGCCTTCACAGACATCGCTGACGTCTACCCACACTGAGTTGGCTACAATCTCGGAGTCCAGGTAGTAATAGGCGATGATGCGGAAGGAGGGAACCATTTTGGTGGAAACCGGAACAGAAAACACCATGAATTCACTTTTCTCTATGAATCTCAAATCCAGGATCTGACCTTTGTTGAGCACCTATAGAAAAAAAGAGAGAAAGAAAGATATATTTACAGTGTGCCATGCTGGACCAATGCAATATATACACTGAGTGGCCAGATTATTATGACCACCCCATCAGTACTTCGTTGGGCCGCCTCGTGACTCCACGAGATGATGAAAGTTGATGCGAGGAATCTGACACGGCACTGTTGCCCTTGTGTTGTCTTGTACCAGTCTTGCCACTCTCCGTTCTGCCCTACCATTGACTAGTCGCTGACGGCCACAATTCGCACGTTCAGACCCAGATTTTCGGCTGACAGTCCGGTCTTTACTTTAACAACAGCTGCCCTTGAACATTTAAGGAATTCTGCTGTTTTGCTGATACTCGCTCCATGGCTCCGAGCGCCAACAATCATCCCGCGTTCAAAGGCTGTTAAATTGCGTTGTTTACCCGTATCTTCAGAGACAAATCACTTCTACTGTCGTGGTAAACAACCTGCTTCCCTATTTATAATGGTCTGGCCCTCTAGCAACTTCAGCGCGAAATTATAGCTAATTTGCCTACAAACGTCAGGTGGTCATAATAATCTGGCCACTCAGTGTATATCTAAATAATAATAATAATATTATTTATTGTCACTATTTCTATTATTATGCCGTTTTTCCCCGAAGATAAGACGCTGTCTTATATTTTTTGTTGGCTCAAAAAAACACACTAGGTCTTATTTTTATTTTTTTTGGAATGTACAGCAATCCACACTTATTCATGTACAACAGTCTACATGTACACAAATATGGTGATCAGGGCAATCAGAGGTGCCGAGGTATGCATCAAGCATTGTTTATCATAATTGACATGTTTCTTTTTCATTTTTTTAAACAACTGATCTAACTACTTTTCATTCTGTTTTGTTATCTCAGTGCTTCTGATCTCTCTTCAGACTCTTTCAGCCACTTCCTGTCTATATGCACTTGCTCCAGTGTTGGCTGCTGATTATTACTCTGGACTGGCCTCCTGATAGCAGAAAACCATGGACCTGAAAAACAACATTTATGTTCTACATGGCCCATGGCCCACTTACCATGTAATAGATCCTCTGAACACTCCCAGAGTGGGGAGTAACCACCTTCACAGTGACCTTAATGCTTTCTCCGGGGGTTAAAACCTGGATGGGAACATCCATATGAAGGAAGCTGTTGGTTTTCGATGCGTAGGGGGTGAGAATTAATCTTTCTTCCTGCCGTCCATCACTTCCTTCCGCTCTGACCTGTTAAGACATGAAGGAAAAATATATTGTTATAATAATCGTTATGTGTGAAGAAATAACAACGCAAAGCACATCGGAAACCAAAACAGTCAGGTTTTTTTTGTGTGTGTCCCATTGGAGAAACTATTTCTTCACTTCCTGCTCTGTAGACACCACAGGAAGTAAGATGAAATGTACTGGCTCATGTCACCTGAGCGTCCATATTAAAAAGGACATGTTACAGTGGGAATTGGACTTTTACAAGCATCAGCACAATTCTGCCCGGCCATCGAACTGATCCACCAGGAATGAACTGATCCACCAGGAATCCACCAGGAATGACCCATCAACGGTGGTGTCCTTGTGTCTGTAGGCATAACAATCATCGCCGGATCTTTGGGCAGATTGGTCATGTATGAATATGAACCCAAACATGTGCAAGGGGCTTCCACACCGTCCTATGTGTCAGTTGGCCAACTCTAACCCTATATCGAAAAGTCAGAAAAGTTGGGGTTTTTTAGGCAGCCGACTGACAAATAACCCTAAGAGAACCAAGGGAGAGATTAGCAAAACCGCGATAAAGAATTTCTGAGGGTTACCATAAGGTCCAGGGTCTTCTCCTTGGTGTCTGTGTTGATCTGGAAGACCACCTTCCCATCCTCATTTGACCGAAAGGAGCTGAGTTGTGTGTTGGCTTTCAGAAGTTGAACCGTGACACCGCTTGCTAGCGTGCCGTCTGTATAGGTGACTTCTGCCTGTGTGATAATATAGTGGGAAACATTGTTACTCTTCCAGCGAAGGAAATGCAGATATAGAATAAGTTGGATAATTAGTTATGGCTTTTGCAATTTATAGCTTAATGAACTTCAGGAATTTAAAAAATGTACCCTTGAAGTGGGGCTACCCCTGCACACTGCAAGGGTTAGGTGATAGGAGGCTCAAATATACTCACCTGATCCTCAGTCCCAAGCCGGTCATCATTTAGCGACCCGTCTAGCAGCTCGGCAGGGCCGAGGATCAGGTGATTAAAATAGAATTTTGTTCTTACCATAAAATCCTATTCTTGGAGTCCACGTTTAATTTGTTTTCCTAGCCTCTATTTCTCCTAGAGGCAGCAGCATAACCCTACGTCTCAGAATTGTGTCCCTCAATGGACTCTTTACTGTAAGAACAAAATCCTATCTTACTCATCCACAGTTCTGCCGAGCTGATATACCAGTCCCCGCAGCCTCTTACCCATTGGAATCCGACAGACTAAGGTCCACTGACATCATCACATGTAATGCAGGTCAATTGACTTGCATTAGATGTGAGGACGCCAAGGAACATTCCACAGCTGGAGCGTCCTGCTGAGCTGCTAGACCGGTCCCCACAGCCTCTTTCCCCCTGGAATCCGACAGTCTAAGGTCCACTGACATCATCACATCTAATTCAGGTCAGTTGACTTGCATTAGACATGAGGACGCCAAGGAACATTCCACTGCTGTGTCCTGCTGAGCTGCTAGACCGGTTCCCACAGCCTTGTCTCAGAATTCTTCAGAGCACTGTCCCTCTCGATAGATATTTTTTTTGAGCCCCCTAGACACAATCAGGTTTTTTTTAATTCCCAGAGTTCTTTGTTAGCTAAGGTGGGACTTCCATATCTTGCTCACCAGTGACTGAGCATTGTGCACTAGTTGAATAGAGGCAGTCTGTGTTCAATTGGTGCAAAATGCTTAGTCCCAGGTGCCACAGTAGTGAATGGACAGCAGGTTGAAACAAAATGTTTGCCCATTATTCATGCAACACATTTTTTAAACAACCTTTGCACAGCTATTCGTCCAGTAAAACGCCATGTACATTCGTTCTGTGTGAATTAACCAGTTGTTGCAAGAAAGCGGCAAAATCTTCTGGTTGAATAATCTTCAAATATTATGGGTAGTGGTGAATGGGGAAAGTACCTCATTCTGGCCACTAGATGGCGTTGAGGATCATAGGAAATAAATACATGTTAGTAATAAGAGATACAATGTAACAATTCTAGGGAACACTGGAGGGAATTAGCAGATAAATGTAACCACTGATACTGCAGAGGTCCCCGTAAAAAAAAACTTACCACAATCTGTGCTGGTGTCCCGGGGGTGTAATATTTCCTTGTTTTGGAGAAATCGAGGTTATAGGGGGAAGTCACAAACTTTACAGAGGTGAGCTCCTTTTCTTCTAAAGTTCCGGCTACAAACAGAGAAATATGAAGTCAAATTTTTTAACCCAGGATAATAGATCTCAGACCAACTCTCAGGAGCCACTAACAGGTCATGTTTTACAATTGTATTCTCAGAACGATAAGTCTAATGATTAGAGTTCTTCAGTTATGTGAAAAAGTGTGGGGTCATTTTTTTCATTTTTACTTAAAGGAGAACTATGGGGTTAAGGCTTTTCCCCATAGTTCTCCTTAGGGTAACGGGAGGACACAAACTAGCGTCCTCCTGTCACCCAAGGCTCAGTATACCGCGAGCTGTAGCTCCCGGTATACTGAGACACCGCAGCTGAAGCGGAGCCCGACAATTATGCCGGGATCCCTCCAGCTGCGTGACTGACAGCTGGCTTTGCCTATCTAGAGGCAGAGCCAGCTGTACCCGCCCCCTCCCCCGTGAGGGAGGGGGTAATCTAGCCGTGAGAGCCGTGACAGGATCGAGAGGTGAGCGAACGCCGGTATGTGTTCGCTCACCTCCCGATCTACTGAGCCAACCTGTGACAGTCTCATTGTCACAGGTCGGCTAGAGTGAAAAGCACTCACCTCATAGTTCTCCTTTAAAGCTGAACTCTAGGCAGATATAGAAAAAATACAACTTACTGCAGCTTCATTAAAGTGACATTAAAGTCAAACAACATTTTTCCTCCCCCCAATGTAATGTTAGCACTTACCTTAAATTATGTCTTTTAATCCGATCTTCCTCTCCTTTCCTGATGTTTTCATCTGTCCCTCCAGCGATGCGGCAGCTCTCCAATCCAGCTCTGACTCCTCTGTCCCTGCAGTCACTTCCGATCCCGTGGTGCCTGCATGCGGGTTCACGCATCCATAGACTTACCTTGCGTCTCTGCTCGTCTCCCGGCCGAGAATCCGAACTGCGCATGCGTCGGCCCCAAGATGCATTGCGGCCGCACAAGCAGTTTCGGATTCTCGGGCGGGAGCACGCAGCGATAACGAGGTAAGTTTAAACCGCTGTTAAAGCGGGTTTTTAAAATAAAAACTTTTTGCCTATATCTACTGCTGGCTAACAGTAGATATAGGCAAAAAAACGGAGGGTTTAGAACCCCTTTAATACATAATGAAATGTATTTTGTATAAATGCAAGTAGTGCTTTTATTTGAATTTGACCTGTTATCAGCCTCTTGCCCATCCCTCTACATCAGAACTCAGACTGAGAGAGGAAGAAGGAGCAAAAGGAGACAATCGGTTGTGCTGGAGGGCTTATGTGCTAACATGGAACATGCTGATAGAAGGAAGGAGCAGAGAGATGTGTTTGTCAGTCTGCTCCTTATCCTTTTTTTGTCCAGTCACAGGCTGGAGGAGAGACAAGACCTGTAAATGCTACTGAACTGCAGAAAGACAATCAGGTCTCCTGTCCTGGCAGACAGAGGTGCGGTTGGTGCCGGGTCCATATATATCTCAGAAGTGGGTTGACAGAAGAACAAATCCTTGGCAGGTAAAGCCGCTATCATATACATATTTCATCTTTGTATTTATCTGTTTGCCTGGAGTTCAACTTTAATTTTTGTTTTCATATGAAATAATATTAACGGTTGTATGCCAATGTTATTTATTTGCTTTTAGCATATACTGTATATGTATAAGTGATGTTGTTGTGTTTGGGTTTTCTACTGTTTATATCAAAATTTACAAATAAACATTTAAAGAGAGAGAGAAAGCCACAAGCTGTTTCCCTTCATTCTCTGGCTGAAACTTTCCAAGGGGGCTCTCTGAACACAGTAGAAGAAGGAAGGGTAGGAGGAGGAGTCACTGCTCTGATTCATTTATCTGCGCATGTAAAGCTTGAGCTACTTAACTCTGTAAACATGCTTTTTTTGAACAGTGGAACAGAGGAAAGCCTACACCAATATCCACAGAACATTAGCAGGTGTGGATTAAAACAATTGCTAAAATCCTTACTTATTTTTAGGAAACCAGAAACTTCACTTTCTAAGCACATACAAAAACATTCATGGGTATGGGAGTCCTCAGCAACATGTACACACACACACACACACACACACACACACACACACACATAGTTTGGACTGGATGGAGCTATGTCTTTATTCAACCTCCCCTACTATGATACTATGAATGACACATTTATAGGTCTGTTAAGTTGATGAGACGTTGTTTTTGGTGGTCTCATCATTTCCCAGCATCCAAAACCCATCTCATGTCTATGGCTACTTTTTGCAGGTTAAACCAACACATATTCATAGGACTCATAAAAGAAAGTGGAAAAGGTTTCAGACTGTGGTTGAGAAGTTCTCCACAGTTCATGTTTTCAGGCTTCCCTCAGATGTTCATCACTGAGGATTACTTTGGGATCAAAGTAGAGGAACTAGAGGAAAACATCAAATGGAACTTACAAGCCTTCTCCAGTACAGTAGCCACAATGTAGAATGTGGACCCCACCAAGTTCTCCACGGGCTGAGCAATCTTCTTCAGGATGTCGTCTTTGCTAATTTGGATCGTACCTTCTGCATCCTCCATCTAGCAGAAACAAACATTGCTGAGGACATCAAACAAAACATTGACCACACAATCCACTGAAACCTTGTCAACCATGACTCCAAAATGTAGGTTGTCTAGGACTGATGCCCATGCTTCACCTGATACATTGCAGGTCTGGAGTGTTCTTAATGTGATAATGAAGGAAACAGAAATGGGTGGATGGCTGTGCTTTGCCAGAAGCGACGATGGTAAATACTGTTTTGCCCAAGTTCAGCAACAATATCATAGTTAGAGAGTTGAAAGTAACAGCCAACCTCCGGACAGGTCTTGAGTTCTGTATAGCCAATTTAGGTCATGGCATGGCTGCCAGGGTTGGCACATAGCTACCCTCACATCATGTTGGCATCTTCTCTGCCAGTGCAATCCAGCTGGATCCTCAATGTTGGTTTAACTAAACACTGTCATTTTTGTTGGTGGTGTACTGAGAACTATCACAATTTCCCTTGAGATCTGTTAGCATGGGGTGGGTGAATGGCATTGCAAATGGCTGCAATGGGTGACTGTCATCTCATGCTTATGGGTGCCTTGAAGAGTCACTGTCACTTCTAACACTCAGGGCAAAGTAACATCATCTGCAGATACCCCCCGTGACATGTATACTTACCCAATCACTCTCCTTTGCTGCCTTCCCACACTCCCGGAGCCCTGGTGTACATTGAATCATGTGAATGTCCATGTGATAATGCTGGGGCCTGAATGTCCAATCACTGTGGCTGAATGCTGTTACCTGGGTGGTGCCATGACATCATCTTAGTGCCAACACTGGAGCTTAGCCTGGCAGAGATGTTGTGGTGCAGAGGGGAAGCATTTTTGGGTAAGTATACATGTCTAGGGTGGGTGCTATGTCCAGACACTGTCATGATTGGTCTCATTAAAAGAAGCCTTTACTACGAGAAGAAGAAAGCTGCCATTTCTGACCTCCTGAAAACTCCAGTTTCCTGGCTGTCATGCTGATCCACTGGTATTAATGATTTGAGTAACTGACCTGGAACAAGCATGCAGTAAGTGTAATCCGAATTGTTTATCATCGTACTTTTTCCAGGTCGATATTTCTGTAAGTGCAAGTTTCCTTTAAAAATTCTGATACAAGCGGAATAATATAAATGTGTTTGTGTTTAGGAGGGGGTGACAGTACTCACCTCTCTTTCAGATAATGAGATATGGGATAATAACTAATAAGTCACAACTGTTACAGTTCTAGCACTCAAATCAAAGATGCTCCCTATCTCTCTCTTCCCTGAAGCCTATCGGGGGAGGAAAGTGATCAGACAACCTTGATTACCAATCTCAGCATTCCTGATGCACAGAGCTTGACATGCTATCAAGCCATTTCCTGCAGATTAAACCAAGAGAGCAGCCATGGTGGGGTTGTTACACCAGTTCTTCCCTATTTGCCACTGCAGTACCTCAGGCGCCTCTTCTGCCTCTCTGATTTTGATACTGACTGTACACTATTTGGAGCTATTGGCATAAAATTATGACTTTAAGAAGTACATTTTTAGGGAAGTTATAAACAATAAAAGTTAGGGAATGGCAATGGAAGTCTTCTTTACCTTCACTTGTTGTTCCAGGCCTTGTAGCATTGTTTTCTTCCCAGTCTGGTCTATTATTCCGACTCGTACATGGACCACGCCATCCACAGGTTCGCCATACACATACCTGAACCAATCACAAAAGAACAATCAATGTTTAATGGAAAAGGTGATGAGACGGGATTGTATGGATATGTCAACATCAATAAGGATATGCAGAGTTCAGTAACCTATTCTGACCAATCATTTTCATTTTACTTAGATGACAGAACGATGATTGGTCACTGGGGGTTAGTAGGTTTCTACATTGCCCTTTCCCTTACACCGTTCATCCAGGAAAATGTGTCTTATAGGGTGTGACTTGTAAGATTTTACAGCGACTAGCAGTTGTATATTAGGATCTTATGAATATGAAGTGAACATATTATTCAGTGTACTAGTATAGCAGTTAATCTACAGACAACCATATGAGACTGTGACCTTGATTTACTAAAGGACTGGTACATGTTCATGTTAGTAAATTTTCACTTAACTTAGTCAATTAGGTGAAGTAAACCATTCACTTTGCTGACACCCCATTGTGTGCAGGGAAAAATAAACAAAAACAGGATTTTTGCTTGCATAAGATTGGATGGTTGTAGTCAGCACAACGTCACCTCATTCACTAAGCTAAGTACAAAATAGCTTAGTGAATGAGGTGAATCTGTCTTGCAGTGGCATCACTAGGGGGATGCGGCAGCCCGCACTGGGTGACACCAGCAGAGGGGGTGACCCCAAAATGACTGGACAACATGGGAACAAGTACAGCCATCGTGTGAACTGTTGACCATAACTTGGAGAATATCTACAATCATAATGTAACAACTTTTAGTTTTATTATATGTCGTATATCTCTGAGTAGAAGTTTCCTTCAGCACACCCATGGACACAATGGACACATAGATTACCTGGCTTCCACTTTGATTCTAAACTGCGCCTTATTTATCTGGAAATACGGGAGTTCTGGTACGATCTTCACCTCGAAATTTGGAAGAACTGACAAAGAGAAAAGTATCACAGACAGAAATAAATAAAAAAAGGAGAGAAGAAGACTTCAAGAGACACCATGGCCTTACCCATGCAGGTCAAAGTGATAGTGTCTGCATAGGGCCCCTCCAACCGCCTTCCTGACCCCACTCTTGCCTCCATTGTAGCAATGCTACCTGGTGCTTCCAAGTATACGAGGCGATGTGACCTGCTCTCCTGTAACAATAGTATCCTACTGCCCCCATATAGGACACTTCTCATAACAGTGACTGTGCGGACAAATTCATAAATTTTTTTGGGGCAATGTGGCTTGACAACGCCTCTACTGCTACGGATTCTAACCCTTAATATTACATTGATTGAATGACACCCAAAATGTGGGGCCCTGTTTACCCATCTCTAGGATCCTGAACCTCTGTGGAAATGGCCTCTAGTAAAGGTTAACCCTATTCTGTTCTGACCCTGCGCCTTGGTAGCCTTGGTCTACCAAAGTCAGTGGACAAGGCCCGATGTAGTCCTCATTGAGCAGAATGACTTTATACTGTAGCTCATGACCCATTCTTGCTGTTTGCTATTCTTTTTCTTTTATTGTGTAAGCTGCGAGGACGCGGCCCCACGGGGTTTGCTCCATTTTATTATTAGAAAATGTAAATATTGGTTGAACTCGATGGACTTGTGTCTTTTTTTCAACCTGACAAACTATGTAACTATGTAAAAAAACAAACATTTATTTAAAAAATCAGCTTTAAATGTACGTTGCAGTGTGTCTGTCTGAACTCACCATACTTTTTCACTTCAAATTCTGTGGTGAAGTTTGATTCTGGAGCCGAGGTATAATACGCTGATATCCTCCACACTCCGGTACTGAAAGAGATAAACCATAAAGTCAGACGGCCTTCGTGTGTTCAACCGCACCATACACTAGTGGGCACTGCAGCTTTAAATTCTAGGCTGGGAGATCTGGGACATTTTAGGACACGCAACAGTTATCAGTAAAGATTAATGCGCACAACCTGCAGCAACCCATAGATTTCAGTTACCCAAAGTCAAGTCACAGAAAGCTAAATGGTGATTGGCCTGGTTCCAGTTAAGCCATGGCCACACATGCTAACTATGCCCCAGCACAGAGCACTAGACTGGGAGGACAGGAAGTGCATTACCACTAAGAGATACTGGTATTTAAAATTTAAAAGCATGCATTTGTTAAATCACAACATATGTAGGTGCTGTAAAGAGAAATAAAAGGTGTGAGATTTTTTTTGGCTTTAAATGGGACCTAGTATCAGATATACTTTTCTTGTTAAGTGCACGCATGCCAAATAGCATGGAAGTGTAACATTTTCAGGTATTTGTTCCCTCTCACAGAGATCACAGTACTCCTCCTGGCAATGCCTTCATCTGCTTTTCTCTTCATAAGGACGTTGCTATCTTTGTTGAGGCATCAGCCAGGGTCACCATCTACTTCCTGGACTGAGATGCTCAGAGGTGACACTAGGGTTGCCACCTGTCCAGGATTCACCCGGACAGTTCGGGTTTTCAGTTCTGTGTCCAGGTTTCATGGCAGAAGAAACCCGGACACAAGATGTTAGGCAGACAGGGGTAACCAAAATTAAAATAGAGGCTACTGACCCCCCACTGAAAATAGTCACAACTGTGATATTTATATATGAATCGGCGGAGCTATTTACATATGAATAAACTACGACTTATTCTCCATAAAACTGTCCGTGCGTCGCTAGAGTGTGTTCGGGTTTCACTTGAAGAAAAGGTGGCAACCCTAGGTGACACACTCATGTAAATCCTGGTGCCTGTGCAGTCCTTGGCTGTGTTCACAAATATCTGACATAGACGGTTTCATTCCTCGACCTCAAACACAAACCTGAAGTATCTGTTTGTATTAGGATAAGTTAAAGCCAGGATCCTAGAACTGCAAGTCAGCCATGCTAACCACACTGTTACCTTCCCACATACAAGTAACATTGCAGACATTCACAGGGAAAATATACAACTTACGTTGAAATATCCGGAATTGCAAGCTTGTCAGTGACAACTGAGGTTTTGGAAAGCTTCTGCATCTTTCTTACTTGCAAACCTTCCGCATTCTGCAAAAAGCAAATTCGGATATGATTTCACAAGGTAGAGGTCAGCCTAATGCCTGCTGAAGCTTGCTATACGCTTATAAAATTCCATTCAAACATACTTTTCAGTAGTCACAAAGATAAAAATCCACTTTGTGTGAACCAAATGCTTTTACAAACCCAAATATGACCTTTTAAAAGTAGCGGTGACATCATCACTGTGCTGTAGATAGCCTGTACAGAAAGTAGAGCTGTGGGAGGGGCCAAGCAGGCTCCACCCGCTACAGGCTGCCTGCAAAGAAATACAGGAGGGGGTGGAGACAAGACCAGTCACCCTGCACAAGGAGAGAGAGCAGCAGTGACCAGTCTTTTTTACAGGAAGCTCCTGCACAGATTTTTTTTCATGATGGAATATTGCATAAATTCAGAAGAAATACACAAATCATATGAACATGAAGGAAGAATACACAAGACTCTTGTAATTAGACAATATTAGTTTATCCTGAAATTCAGCTTCAAAGCTACAGCCAGTTTCCAAGAATAAGTACACCTTAAAACCTAGACCACCCTCCCCAGATGACAGCGGAGGAGAAGGCTTCACCTCGGGGCTTGACAGCAGTTGCCGGAGGCTGTAAAACCAAGGCTGGGCAACAACGTGATCTGCAATTTAAAGGGACTTTTTCACATTTTCCATCCAAGGCAACATGGCAGAGTCTTTTGCTGGGCCACCTCCAGCCACTTACACTCATCTTGTCTGTGCTCCTCCAATGCCCCACTCCCCAAACATAGCTGTGAGTCTAAACGCTCTGTTAGCTCCATGTCTAATGGTGTAAGAGCTTACAAAGGTTGCTGATTTCACCAACTCATTCACATGACATTGTTCAGGCCTACTGACTGACCTTTTAGACCCGGGCACTAGACCCTAAGAGAAGGCTACATTCTCCTCATTACCAGAAGCAATGAGTATTTCTTGAGAGCTTTGTTAGAACAATGGAGCTCCGGGATGGATGCACCTCCAGGATGGAGCATGAATACAGCTCAATGATGGACACACCTCTGGTGTTGTCTCAAAATAAGATAACTTTAAGAAAACCCAGGCAGCAGAGATACCCAAAATGTTAGAGCACAAGCCCTATTTCAATACACTGTAACTAAAAGATTACTCACAATCACTGTGCTAGTAATGAAGTCCTCTGTAGGTCTCATCATGTGGTCCAGAGTGAACACTCTCATATTAACTGTGGAGAATTTAGAGAAACAGGTGTGAGCGGTAAAACAAGAGAACCACCCTGTAAAATCTTATAGCGAACCTCTGTTTTGTCCTTGCAGGGCTCCTACAAACCTGGAAGTACCAGCCACTGGATGGAAGAGCCGGGAAGTGAAGTATTGGTGAGTATACGCTGCTGAGAAGAGTGGCATTCATACAAACTTTGCCCTGCATGGGCTTAGCATATGCTTTTGCTTCAAACTACCAACATAACATGTTAAAACATGCATACAGTATATACAATGTAGACGAGTTCCTACTCATGGGTGATGTGGCTATACATATGATATCATATAATTGGGAAGGAATACAGGTGAAACTCGAATAATTAGAATATCGTGCAAAGTTCTTTTATTTCACTAATGCAACTTAAAAGGTGAAACTAATATATGAGATAGACTCATTACATGCAAAGCAAGATAGTTCAAGCCGTGATTTGTCATAATTGTGATGATTATGGCTTACAGCTCATGAAAACCCCAAGAACCCCAAATCCACAACCTCAAAAAAGTAGATTATTACATGCAATCAATAAAACAAGGATTGTACATAGAACAATATCGGACCTCTGAAAAGTACAAGCATGCGTATGTACTCAGTACTTGGTTTGGGCCCCTTTTGCAGCACTTACTGCAATTACTTTTGCACGATATTCTAATTATTCTAATTTCACCTGTATATAAGTGTTAATATGTTAGTTAATGGATGAATGGAAGAAATGCCCCAAAACTACCCATTGACCAAATAGCTACAAAGAAACCACAAGCTGTCCTCATAACTAAAAGTGTTACAATGTCTCAGAGACAGACAGATCTTGATCCTGAAAAGACTGAGCAGCCATCTTGTCTTGAATTGTATTGTAGTTATAATGTCCTCCTTATATTGTAAAGAGCTGCACAAACTGTTGGCGCTATATAAATCCTGTATAATAATAATCATAACAGAGATACATAGATAGATACCTGATTCTTTGGGAGTGTATACGCTCTTGTCAGTCTGGATGAAGATGTAGCCTTTCTTGTAGGAGATAGGTATGGACACAACTTTACCTAATGCTCCTAGGGCGCCACTAGTTATAACCAGCTGGACATACCTGCTACTCCTTCGCTCTTCCAACTTACATGTGGAGGCCCTCGTGGGCGTGAGCTGAGGAGATAAAATGGAGGATAAGTTTGCTAAAGATGTACACAGCACCAACAATTCTAAACAACCCTAAAGACCCATTTAGTTTGTTCCCATGCTTAATTGCAACAGTGGATTAGAAGGTCTTCCCTGGATTTAAACTATTGCGGCACTATTCACATTCCTCAATGCACATCAGTTCTATTTTATATAACCCATTCCTGCAATATGTAGATTAACATTCTCAGGCACGGTGACCAGTATTGACAGCATGCTAACCTACATTTTATTGCAGAACTAAGCAACTAGGTGCTCAAATGATCAGGAACCAGTCAGTGTGGTTTCCAGTCATGTGATCATGACAGCCAGTCATAGTAATCAAATGAGGTTTGTTTACAAATAATCCTGTTTTCTACATTTAGCCCTGCTTGTGTACAGTGGGGAAACCGCTGCTTGTTTTGTACAAGTGATCCCGGCAAAGTCGCCAAGATCACTTGTATGCAGCCAATTAATCAATAAATGATCCATTAGATGGCCCTGACCACAGCTCTGACCTTTGCTAGCTGTCACAGACCGCTGCCATTGTCAAAAAACAATTGGTAACCAATCAGTGTGGTTTTCTGATCATATGATCATCATGGTATGATCAATCATGGTAATTACATGGGGTTTGTTTGTAAACAAACCTCCTCCAACTTCAGCTGTCAGGAGGCTAATTTCATGAGGATTTTCATAAGGATAGAGATCTTTACTATCAGCCATGTGACAGTAATTTCCAAATCTCATTGGCTTCAGCTAAAAATAACTGTCATTTTTAAAATTAATGTATCCTTAGCCTGGTGTTTCCGCCCTAATGAATTGAGCCCAGTGTATCTCTTTCTCTGTGCACAGATAATGACATGATGTTTTTTTAAAAAGACAACAGGTGTAGGCAGGGCCGTATTTACTCTCTCTGCTGCTCCAAGGCCAGGTTCCTCAATACTCCCCCCCTCTCCGGGATCACTTGTACAAAACAAGCGGCGCGCTTCCCCACTGTATATTTAGTCCTGCTTGCCCAAAGCAGGGCTACATGTAGAAAACAACTACCCACTCGGTGCCTGGAACTGCATGTCCCGGTTGTCGAGAGATAGGAATTCCAAACCCCTGGCGCCCCTCTTCTCCCTGCTGCTCTGAGGCCAGGCCTCGGTTGGCCTTGTGGGAAATCCGGCCCTGCTTGTAAGCATCAATGGTCATGAAATCTACAGGAATTTTGGCCATGGAAAGGTAAAAGCTTGTAGAGCTGGTGAGTATCTAATTGCATGTGGACAGGAGTTCCAGAGTAAAGGAGCAACATGAGAGAAATCCTGGAAATGAGAGTATGAAGGGGCAAAGCAGAGATGTTACGTGTAGAAGCAATGTTCCAAATGGGTGTATACCTGGGTACTAGAGAAGGGATACAGAGAAGTGTTGAAACATTGGGAACTTTGTGCGTCGTAATCAGGACTTTGACTTGTACGCGGTAGTCAAACAAAGGACAAAGCTTCAATGTCTACAAAAAACTTAGCTCAGATGATTTCTTGTTTCCTGAACTTCTTGTCATTTATGGTAAACTGAGCAATACATCACAAGGGAAAGTTCCAATCATTGCAAGCCTCCTGCGCTTTGATCTCTCTTGTTTACTTGTGCTGTTGCACAATACTCATACACAACGCTGGACTCGCTCCACCATCGGCTGCACTGCAAGTCCATACGCTGAGCATAAACGGACCTTGTTTCAGAGTATGTTTGCGTAGGTGATACCACCATGGTGCAAGTGATTGATATGGCCGGTCTGAATCAGGAAAACAAAATCAGAGCTACCATGATGTCATCAGAGCTTTGACTGATCGCCGATTCTGTCAAAATGATACAGAGGAGTAGTAGGCAGAAGCCTAGCTTTGGAAAGTGTCCACATGCATCTATAAAAAAAACAACCGCTGACATGTTTCTGTCTTACTCAGCCTTAGTCACAGCTATGACTAAGGCTGAGTAAGGCAGAAACGCGTCAGTGGTTGTTTTTTGTATAGATGCATGTCGAATGCATGAGGCAATCACAGACTAAAGCCTTGGTTCTCAACTAGTGGGTCGTGACCCAAAAGTGGGTCGTGACCCCATGTTTAGTGGGTCACCACATGCCTTCCGCTTTTCTAGGTGAGAGGCTCCTCTGCCTCCCCCCAGTGCAGCACTGTCAGTTCTCACACTAAGCAGCCATTCAAAATATGCTGCCCACGCTGAGTGTCAGCTTGAGATGGGATGGGGCTGTGGCCGCAAGGGAGCTCCATCCATACGTGCATTGCTAACAGCTCCCTTGTGTGCCCTCTAGAGGTGCCTGGACCAGAGTGATGTCACATTCTGGCTCCCAGCACCTGTACAGGAAGCGCAAGGGAGCTGTACAAGCAATGCACATATGGATGTCAGTGTTCACACTAGTACAGTGCGTAAATCACATAGTACAGTGCGATTAACACACTGTACCACGCAATCACACCTACCGTGCATTCTGGTGTGGGAGGTGTGTTGCATTGCCATTCATTTTAATGGTACCCCAAACGCACCTCCCACCCACAGTTTCTACACCCACACCGGAACGCACGGTACTCTAATGCCATGTGTTCCATTGCAGTGCAACTTGGGTTGCGACTTAATGACCAAGGACAAATGTGGGTCCTGAGGTCACACAGGTTGAGAACCGCTGGACTAAAGGATCTTAAATAACTTAAATGGTATCATCTCAGGTCATTTGATTTTCTTTCTTTTTTTCTTTTTTTTTTAGTGTGTGTGCTTTTCTGTCAGAAGTTACTTTTTTACTCTGTTGGTGAGATTTATGAAATATATCCACATGATAAGACAATGGTAAGTCTTCAAAATAAATAAGTACAGATTTAACCAAAAAAAATGTATACAGTCCTTAGACACCCTGGCTGCAAGTGCTGGAAATATTGGCTGAGTGTAATAGCGCATGGAACACCTCACCTCTATAGTCTGTTTACTTATGTGGTTGTTCCTCGTGTTCAGAGTTAAACGGTAACGTTCGGAGCACTCATCATAGGTCTTCTGATTGCGCAGGTACATCTCTACCGCAACATCATTTGGCACTTTGGTGCCCTGAGGCCACTCCATCTGCACCCACACATCTTCTTTGACACCCACATGCAGAAGGCGGGGTGCGGTGACCAGGAATCTGAGAACAGGAGAATAGCTGTTATTATATATCATTCTAGTCCCCGAGCCCCATCTGTCATGTCATGATGATTACACTATTCACTGGCTTGAGTAAGCACCAAAAATTACCACCATCTGCAGGGACCCCGAGGGTTGCACAGGCAGCCCCCGGGCCATTGTACTGCGGAAGCGCAGGCTTGGAAATTAGTTGAAAAGCAATAGGCTTCCAAAGGGGCTGAAAAACACTAAAGTGATGGCAGTCTCTAAACCATGAGGAGGACCTTAGAATAGTGGTGGTCAACTTACTTGATAAAGGGGACCTCAACATTTCCAAAGGGCCACACTGAAAATTGCAGACGTACAACAGCAGTTGGTTAGAGACTGCAGACATGCAACAGTAGATGGTTACAATCTGCAGACATACAACAGTAGATGATTAGGGACTGGGGACATGCTACAGTTTTTCGGAGACTGGGGACATGCTACAGTTGTCGGATACTGGGGACATTCTTCAGGAGGCAGTCATAGTCTGGAGACAAGTTACCTTTACCAAGCCCTTTAACTACTAGAAGACAGTCAAAATAATATTATTCACTGGCTCGAGTAAGCACCAAAAAAGACCACCATCTGCAGGGGCCCCCGAGGGTTGCACTGTAAGTGCCAAGGGTCACATGCAGCCTTGATGGCAGAGTGATGGCAGTCTCATAGTTGATTGGCTATGCTGATCTTATAACTGGCGAAGGATCCAGCTTGCCCATTCCTGCCCGTCAGCATCAGTGGGGACCAGTGCAGAGACATTACAATTCCTCTTCAAAAGGGAAACCGTTCTAAAATGAGAAAAATAGACATTTGTACAGAGCGGCGGGTCTGATACTTACCTTGGGGTTTGCGCCACGGTCACACAAACCATGGCCGCCCATAGCAGGCAGCTCAGGAGAGGAGACGGTCCCATGATGCAGTGATAGACTGAGCTGGAAGAGAAAGGACATTTATTTAAACAGAGGGGGCAGGACAGAGATAAGGGAAGAACAGACAGAGGTCAGGAGGTAAACACTGAGGACTGGCTAGAAACCGAAAGTGCTCAAATTTAGGAAAATTGTCAACATGCTTTGTAGGCAGATGAACTTTATTCCTGTTATATGCTTTTTTAAACTTTGCTTTCATGGCTTATTGAAAGGAAAATGGCTGTATCTTCATTAAAGGTGCCCATACACTGCACGATTATCGTACGAGAAGCGTGGGAAATCCCGTGATCGTACTATAATCGTGCAGTGTATGGAAGGCGTGCGACCGTTTCTACTGTACGGTCGCACGACTTTTGTATTTCGAGCATGTTGGAAAACCAGCCGAGAATCGTACGATTTTCGGCTGGTTTTTAGCATGATCGAGAGGTAACTGCCGAACAGGCCGCTGTGCGCACGCGCACACTGCCCGTTCAGCATTGCAGTCATCGGAAGCCCGCCTCTCAGGGGGGCGGGCTTGCGATGATCGCAAGTACGATCTGCCTGTCCAAGATGGGCAGATTGTACGTTTTTTTTATTACTTTACATCCCTCGCAAGACTTTTGTCTTTGTTGTAAAGTGTATGGCCACCTTAAAGTGGCATTAAAACATAAATTTTTTTAACATAAAACAATAGTGTAATGTGTGCCTTACTGTAATCCATGGTTGTTTCCCTTCTCTTTGCTGCTCTTCCTTTTAAATCTGTATCTCTTCTCATGCTGGGGGAGAACTTACCTATGCAGCAGACTGCCTTGTCTCTGGAATGGATACATGGTGTCTGTGTGTAGGTTCACAACCTGAGCCAGGACTACAGGAAGAGGCACTCAGCTGCAAAGGGAAGTTCTCCCCAAGCATGAGAACAGATACAGATTTAAAAGGAAGAGCAGCAAAGAGAAGGGAAACAACCATGGATTACAGTAAGGCGCACATTACAGTATTGTTTTATGTTAAACAAATCTGAGGGTTTAATGTCACTTTAAGGCTGAACTCCAGGCAAACACCTAAATACACAGGTGAAATACCTGTCTAGGGATTTGTATTTCCATCCAGTCTCTTCTCTCATCAGCATGTCCCTTACACTACAACACACCTTCTTCCCTCCTCCTGTCAGGATGCCAGGGGCGTCGCCTCCCCACGAGGTCAGAGGGTACGGCATAGGGTACAGACCTCCCTTCAGCCTGGCAGACCCACGGGCGCTCCGGCGGCCACTACGCGTGCGCGAGCTATGCGCCGGGTGCGCGTGCGCAGTACACAGGCTGCGCGCGCATCCCGGGGCCGTGCTTTCAACGCGTGTGCACCTGTTTGAGCTTCAGTTGTGGCCTTGCTGGGGGAGGTTCCCCAGCCCACACACACACACGCCTTTCGCCTGCCATTGGCGCTCGGGAAGGGGGCGGACTCACATCCCCTGGCTATAAAAACCTGGCCAGAGCCCTGGCTCAGTGCGGAGTTATTCCACCTCTTGGTGTGACATATGAAGCTCTCCTCCTATGTGCCTTGCTGCCTGTTACCTGAATCCTCTGCTGACTTCCCGTGTACCGACCCTGGACCGACTATCGCCTCTGACCCTTGCTGCCTGCCTCGACCTTGGATTGCGCTCGACTACCCCTTTGGATTGCCCTTTTGTTACCTTGCCTCTGGACTTTTTAGGCTGCTTCCTGCCAGCGGGTTCCCTCCGTGCTGCTTGCCCGCGGATGCTCCTGACACCTCCCCAGTATGAGCTCTGCTATACAAAGACCACAAGAGGCTAATATCAGGTTTAAATTCAGACACCTACACTGTTTGCATTTAAAACTACACTCACCCGCCACTTTATTAGGTACACCTGTTTAAATGCTTGGTAACACAAATTGCTAATCAGCCAATCACATGGCAGCAACTCAATGCATTTAGGCATCTGGACGTGGTGAAGACGATCTGCTGAAGTTCAAACCGAGCATCAGAAGGGGGAAGAAAGGTGATATAAGTTCCTTTGAATGTGGCATGGTTGTTGGTGCCAGACGGGCTGGTCTGAGTATTTCAGCCACTGCTGATTTACTGGGATTTTCACACACAACCGTCTCTCGGATTCACAGAGAATGGCCCGAAAAAGAGAAAATATCCAGTGAGCGGCAGTTGTGTGGATGAAAATGCCTTGTTGATGTCAGAGGTCAGAGGAGAATGGGCAGATTGGTTCGAGATGATAGAAAGGCAACAGTAACTCAAATAAGCACTCTTTACATCCGAGGTATGCAGAAGAACATCTCTGAGCGCACAACACACCTTGAAGCAGAAGAACACACCGAGTGCCACTCCTGTCACCTAAGACCAGGAAACTGAGGCTACAATTCGCACAGGCTCAGCAAAATTGGACAATAGAAGATTGGAGAAACGTTGCCTGGTCTGATGAGTCTCCATTTCATCTGCGACATTCTGATGGTCGGGTCAGAACTTGGTGTAAACAACATGAAAGCATGGATCCCTCCTGCCTTGTATCAATGGTTCTGGCTGGTGGTGGTGGTGTAATGGTGTGGGGGATATTTTCTTGGCACACTTTGGGCCCGTAATGCTATCATGTCAATATGGACCAAAATCTCTTAGGAATGTTCCCAACACCTTGTTGAATCTATGCCACGTAGAATGAAGGCAGTTCTGAAGGCAAAAGGGGTCCAACCCGGTACTAGCAAGGTGTACCTAATAAAGTGGCCGGTGAGTGTATATTTAAGGAGGTATTAATAATTACAGAGTTGCAGTAACTTGTGTCTTTTTTTAATGTCTGCCTCGAGATGCATCTAATCCCCAAAAAAAACAAAACATTGATATATTGCACAATAGCAGTCCTTAGATGAGGTGACTGCATTCGTTTTGCAGACAACATTGAATCAAGTGCATGTAGACAGAAAGTGGCTGGAAGAGGTTGGAGGAAATCAGCAGCATTGGGATATAAAGAAGATGAAAAAACGTAAACGCAGTATTTTCGGAAATAAAAGACAATGGTTTATAATAAAGAGGGCTTTAGGAAAAGGGTACCTGGGTCATCCCATTCCTGACCGCAGTCCGTAGGTTGACGTACTCAGTCAGTTAATCTATGTTTCACTGTAGAGATAGCTGACAGTCATTGACCTCAACCAACAATCAGGAACCAATCAGCCTTGTTCCCGATCATGTGATCACCATGACAGCCAATCATGTGATTTGTTTAAAAACCTGCCAGCTACAGCTGTGCCTGAGCTTTGCACATTGAGGCACAGTGACAGCTGAAGCCAGGCTGTAACTGTCACAGTTCAAAAATGGTGTAAAAACTGTTAAGTGTAAAATGCCATTTTGTTGACCTTTTTGCCCATTGGTCAGCTTATAATAGCAACAAATTTGAGCTGGTTATTCATTGAAACAGTGTGCCAAATAAAATCCTGATATATCCTTAAAAATATATTCCATGATATAGGCAGGCAAAGTGTTCATAGTTAAAGGAGAACTATGAGGTGAGTGATTTTCACTCACCTCATAGTTGGAGCCGACGTGTGACAATGAAACTGTCACAGGTCGACTCAGTAGATCGAGAAGTGACAGATGTGAATGGTCACATCTCTTGCCTTGAAGAAGGGACCCTGTGTGGCCCCGAAACGTCGGCTCATGTTGGATTTCTGTGACATCATTGTCCATTAAAAGAACTCATTCATTTTAACTTATGGAGTGCTGGTGACCTATTTTCTTCAATCTAGTGAACACATACCGACGCTCGCTCGCTTCTCGATCATGTCCCTGCAGAGAGCCGTGGCTGTCACTCACGACTCCCTGCAGGGATTTCCCCCCCCCCTCTCCGATCCTCCAGCGCTGACTGGAGGAACGAACGGGGGAGGGGGCGGGTACTGCTGGCTCTGCCTTTAGATAGGTAGAGCCAGCTGTCACTCACGCAGCTGGGTGGATCCAGACATAATTGTCTCAGTATACCGCGAGCTGTAGCTCGCTATATACTGAGCTTTGGGTCACGGGAGGAGGTTAGTATATGTCCTCCCGTGACCCTTAAGAGAACTATGGGGAAAAACACTTACCGCATAGATCTCTTTTATGGTAACTCGCTGATACTGATGCTGCTGAATTTGGGTCTGGCCATCCGGGCTTACTTGCCCTCTGGTCATGAAAGGGTTAATGGAGTGAAAAGAAAAAAATCCAATCAGTTTCCCAGGTAAAAGTTTTCCACATGAAGGAAGTACCTCTTGAGATACACATACCACTGGTGGAGAATGGGGGGGCTGAAGACCAGTTTTCTACATGGTGAGCTGCTTAAAGTTTAACTCCAGGCGGAAAGCAGGAGACAGCAGAGTGCCAGAGAGATGAGCTCATCAGTGTACTGCTTCTCCTTACACTGTCCAGTCACAGGCTGGCGGGTTGAGAATGATCAGGTCCCCCTCCCCTGCCACACAGGGCTATACTGTATGGTAGAGCTGTGTAGATCTCAGGACTGGATGGACAGAAATACAAATCCTAAGGCAGGTATAAAAAAAACTCTCTTTCATGTATTTCATGAAATGTATTTAGCTGTTTGCCGGGAATTCAGCTTTCACTCAACAGTGCGCTGCTCCTCTTATCAACTTTTTACCTCTCCACCCCTTCAATTGTGTACACATGCAGAATTTACTGAAACTGGTCACGTGATTTTAGAGAAATTGAGTTAAAAAGAAAGCTTGAACCAACAGACTCAGCAGAACGGGAAAATCCTATTCTGGTTCATTTAAAGGCAAGAGCAATCTTCTGACAAATGTTGGCCAGTCTGGAAAGGTGGCATATCAAGTAAATCAACTCTAAAGATGCAAATATTAAAATGACATCAATCAGGGCCACCAGCAGGTAAAAAAACCTGGAGTTACTATTCATAGGATCCAATCAGATCGCTTGCTTCATTTCCTTCATCTCCGCTGTGGTGAGTTCAGAAGCAAGTTCTAAAAAGCTTGGATGAAGTCCACCATAGCTCATTACAGATAACTCATTA